GTGTCTCGGAACCTTAATAAACATTAGTTGTGAAATTTGGGTAAATACATAATACGCTGTTTATGGAATGGTGAGACGTTCGTTTTGGATCTGTAATTATCACGTAGCTTACGTTGGTGTTTGAACGTTTTCGTGCGACATTCCGTCTTTTCATCGAACATACAGTTATGACTTACAAGGTGACACTGGTTGATTTCTGGGTTATGGATGCACCGACCACGGCAAAACATCAGCCGGTGGGAAAATGACATTGATAAATTTATTGATATTGTGATAAACAGGATAGTGAGTGAGTGAGTGAGTTGTGTTTAACGCCGCTTTTAACAGTATTCCAGTTATATCACGGCGTGTCAGCTTAATGTGGGAGGAAAGCCCGAAGTGATGCAGGTCTCAGACGTTAACCACTTCGGTGAAACCCACGAGCACGGGTATGGTACTGACAAACCTAGAAACGTAATCGGGGCGAACCGGGATTCGAACCCACAATCATAGGTTTCTGGCGTGCCCAAGGGACGCAACTCTGCACAGCGAATCGCGGCGCCTTAGACGACTGGGCCACCCGTGCCCCCTAAAACAGGATAGAATTACGTCATGGAATTCACCCGTAACATTATCAACAATATCAAGCCAATTTTGAAACAAATGGTTATGATTACAAAACAGATTGATGACAAACAAAATATAATGATTGGCGTTAAAACGCTTATGAAACTGAAGGGGGTTAAAATCAATCCATTTCTAATACATCTTGGACAAGTTCACAAGCATGCCTATGTCAAGGTATGGGAGTTATGATCGTCTTAGCCCTGAAGTCGCCATGTGGAACGGGGCCCTGGTCCGACGATCACCGATTTACTGTAGTTCGAGTGGGTCCAAATTGGGTCTGGTCCAGTGGGTGAGTGAGTGAGTGAGTGAGATTACTGAGTGAGTCAGTTATATGACGGCGTCTCAGCTTAATGTTGGAGGGAATACTGAAGTGATGCCGGTCTTACATTTAGGTGAAACACACAGGTATGGGTAATGTGCTGACAAACCTAGAAATGAAATATAATCAGGACGAATCAACGCCCGTAGGTTTCTTGCGATCCTGACACAACTAAGCACAGCGAATTGCAAAAGCCATGCCGAATCGCTTGGACGAGTTGCCAATATTGCGCCATATGATAGGAGGCAACATGACATTGACATAAGTGAACAAATTGAACAGTTTTCCAGTTATATTACCGCGTGTCAGCTTAATGAGGGAGGGGAGCCCCAGGTGACGCAGGTCTCAGACGGTTACCACTTCGGTCAAACCCATGAGCACAGGTATAATTCTAATCGGAGCGAACCACAGTGAATCGCAGAGCTTCAGACGAAAGGGCCACCACTGTCCCCTTTCCCAAATTGTAAAAAATAGGGCACTTTCTCTTTCTTTGTTGTTTAATGCTGCACTCAGCAATATTCCAGTTATAAGACGGCTGTCTGATAAGTCCAATCTGGGCCAGACAATCTAGTGATTAACATCATGAGCATAGATCTATCCAATTGGGATACTATGACATGCATCAACCAAGTCAGGGAGCCTGACCACCTTTTAGTTGCCTCTTACCACAAGCATGGGTTGATGAAGATCTACCTACATCTTCAGGGGCCAGGCCATTTTCACAGCAAGTGGATGACTTTCTGCTACCAAAGCACTGGATAAAATGTGAAGATAATTCACTTAAGTTTCTTTTCCTTAAATGAAATGATGCTAAAACTGTGACAAATATGTGACCTTGTCAGGCAGACCAGTGCTTGATAGCATGAGCAACAAAGTGAGTGTCCGGTTTAACACTGCTTTGAACAGTATTTCTCTTGAGCCAATTTAATTTTGGAGAAAACCTGAAAGTGATGCAGGTCTCATATGTTTACCACTTTGCTGAAACACACAAACCCAGGTATTGTGCTGATGAACTAATCAAGGCGAATCAAAGATTCAAGCTTACTTTTATTGGCATTCACCAGCATGCCTAAGGGAGCAACTGCACAGCAAATTCAGGGGCTGTAGACCACTTGGTCCCTCGGACACCATCAGACAGGTGGAGTGAGTATGCTTTTATGCCGCTTTTAGCAATATTCCAGCAATATCACTGTGGGGGCCACTAAAAATTGGCTTCACACACTGTACCCATGTCGGGATTCGAACCCAGGTCTTTGATGTGACAATCGAACCCTTTAACCGCTAGGCTACCCGACCGACCACAGATGGGTGGATATTGTATACCAAATGAAATTATAAATAACAAATATTTCAAGAATTGTATTCATATATATTTATTTTCTTATTATTCCATTCATATATATAATACATGACACCTGAGATTCTAAGGATACCAGTGTTAAACACTGGTTGTACGACACTAGGGCCTGTCTCAGCCAGAAAATACATTCCATCCTGCATATTCACCTTATACAGACAATCTCCCTACATGAACAAGTAAATACATTTAATGTTCCAATACTTGCATATAGTTTTTCAAAATGCATAGATCTATTTCAATAGAGGAAACATCATGTACTTTCGATTCACCAATACAATGCAGTCCGGGTTATATCCAAATTAACATCAATAATAAATATCATAAATATTTAAAAGCTGTCCAAATTGTTTTGACAACCCAACAAATTAATGATTCACCATATTCATCCTCATGGTATGTTTTTTACACATATTTAATCAAGTATACACCCAAAATAGAGTAAAGCACCTTTCTTTATATTTCATATAAAAAAAATTTAAAATTGATCCTGTTCTTATTTTGACAAATCACATTAATTTTGTTTAAAAAGTGACATACTCAATTTGAAATGCAGAAACCGAAAGATTATCTAATATGAGGTTTTGTTACTGCTTTCTTTGAATCCTATGATATGACAGTATTTGCAACCATTTTAGTTCTTGTACTCACCTGGAGGTTTTGGCGACATCCTTGACATTTATCTAAACATAGATATTTAAAAAAAATACATATAACTTTGAGATATGAAAATAAAGAAGGGGTGCCGCTTAACTATTTTCAAGGTGTATATAATATACATGTACTAGTATGTGTTTGGGCTTTCAACTTTCTGCCTGTTTGCATACCATGTAAGGATATGAAATGCACTCAATGTGTTTAGCTTGTATATAGAGAATCAAAAGACTCGAGGGTGAGATTCTATTTAACATCCAATATCATTCTTAAATAGAAATACTCGAAAAAATATATCAGTGATTTATGAAAGCGATATCTACAATGAAGATATCGTTGATCTCACCCAAGCGATATCTCATGAGGGAACCAGTTTTGGATGATGTACAAGGGTCACATACTGGTGTCAAGGTAAGTCAAACTGTTTGAAATTAAGGGGGTCCTGGAGTCCTTGAGGCTTGCTGCAAGAACGTCAGCATCTAGTACCCCTTCATTTCTTAACTTTTATAATTAGGGTTATCACAAAGACCCATTACCTTTCATGCTTATTTAAAAAACAAAACAAGGGTCAAGCAATAAATATGTCCAATCATCAATGACAGGAACACCATAGGCGATTCTTCAGATTCACTTTCTTTGCCATGGTCCTGTTAAGCTGACTTTTACAATCTTGCCTGGCTTTGAGAATAAATTTGATAATTAACTTAGACATAAGATTATACGAGATATTTTCCCCAATCTTTTCGGCTATCATGCCAGGTACATATGTACAAGAACACTGGAAATATGTAGATTGTAGACAAACATGCCAAGTACATTCAGAGTGGAGAGAAAGACAGAAGGACTGGAAGACAAGTAGAGTCTGATACAGAGATAGATATGTTGTATATGGTAATATCCAATCCCATAAACCAGCACAGTACCCAACCCTATTATTTCTCCCCACCCACATACCTCTAAATGACAAATTTAAATATGTAAAGGAATCAAATTATCACGTGCAAGAAGATGAAAACCAGATATAGGGAAAGCTGAATTATAGAATTGCCAAATTAATTCGGATCATCTATTATCAGTGCCATGGTAACCCATCAAATTAATATTTATAATTGTTGAATGACATAGGACCAGTGTGAATCATGTCACTGAAAGATTTGTTTACTCCGTGAAAATACTGTGTGAAGATGTTACTACCCCTCCTATGTCGCTCCAGTTGACAATGAGCAAACTTTGACCAGCCATCCAAATGAAGGATGTGTGGTTCTTGAGCTAATCAGATGTAAGCTTTCTAAAACAGCTCGGCTTCATTTTTTCACCACCTCAATTTAATTTTTTTTTAAATAAATTATCAAAAGAAATCCACTCCTTTAGATTCCATAGTGCTCACAAACAACATTGTGTATGAAATATCCACTAAACTCAAATCTGTGCAGCTTTAATTATTTACATTTGGAACTGGCATTTTGAAAGTTTTTGATACACAGAAATTCCATATGGTGGTCTTAATGCTTCACTTGTACTGAGAATTAAGAAGCCTTGGCACTGATTAGAAAGTTTGTCTGACATGGCCTCCTGAGGAGGGGTTGACAGATGTTCAAGCAGAGAGGTATCCATCTTCCCGAGGCAAGAGAGTGAACTGACTTTAAAAATCCAGTTTCCTTTCTGAACTAGGCTGGAAATACTGGGCTTGATCGTAGCGCCACCAGTGGCTATTACCAGTTATGTCCCTTCTAAGCCTCTCCTATGGACCAATCAGATTCCACCACTCATATCACTTGCGTTTGCTTCACGCAAAATGGTGGCGCCCAGTCAGGACAATCTGATTGATAATCAAGATCTATATTGTGATAAAACGGGTCTTACATCGCCAAATACATCAAATCACGTGAGCACCTTGATTAAAAACATGAAAAGATTTGGAAAATATCTGCTGACAAGTTGGCGGTGCACATACTTTGCAAATCCTGCAATCAATCGAAATCTGCATGACAGTTTACGAACCGGATTTCGATGCATGATTTTGATTGGACTATGCATAGACTCGTTAGTCCAACCAAAATGTAACTCCATAATACCAGCCTAGTTCGGCAAGGGTGGAAACTGGACTTTTATAGTCAGTTAACTCTCTTTTGCCTCGGGAAGATGACAGGTATCATATCGGGTGTAAAAGATCTGATTTTAAGGATATCTAGGGTGAATGGTCTTAAAATTAAATTGAGACCTGATGTGTCCCTATCAACATTAGAGAAATATATGGCATTTATGCCAGTTTGACAAAATGCAGTAGATCTAAGAAAGGTCTACACTCTGTGTAGCTTAATAAAGATAACAAAACACTTATACTGAGATTCTAAATCACAGAACATAATAGGTAACTAAAAAGAATTAACAAAACAATTTCAGTGGCATAAAAAATACTAATTTGTACAATACTGAAGAAAACAAACTAAGGTAATATGTAATAACTCTATATCATGTATATTTCTCTTATTGCACATCCGGTGTAATATTGTCTGATGTGGACTTAGAAATAACACATGGGCTTTGTAGTCAGGTGATATCCATATTTACAAACACTGGTGAACCTGTACCATGTGTGCTAGTCCTAAGACCATCTTTCTTCATTGGAGGGTGGGGAAGTATTGTTTTAATCATGTCAGTGGTTGTGACAAATAGTCCTCTACAGGAAGCTGTCAAACATAAAACAGACTGACAGAAAAACTGAAGGGTCTCAGCCTTGAAGGAGTCTCTCTCAGTCAGAAAGTGAAATTAGTTTTAGCAGTCTCTGCCAAATCCAAAAATCTATTAGCCCAAACTTGGCTATAGGCATCATTTTCTGGAGATTTTGATGTTATCATTAGTCTATTACTACATAAGCTTACTAGACAAGACAGAAGTTTACTCAACTTGGGTTTTCAGACTCGTGGATCAAGTCACAGACTGTTTTAGATAAGATCAAGTTAAGACAAGTCATCAGGGCTTTTCCTAGAGACCTTAACCCTTAGACAATCATAAATCCTTTAGCTTACAGGTGGGTTTATGCCCCGCAGTCTGGAACCCAGTTTAGACTAGGTCTAGATGCCTTATTAGGCGACTTGTGCCAAACTAATCCATTATCTTTGTGAAATTCATGTCATCACTAAAAGCGAGATGAGAATACATTGTAAAATAAGAGTATACAGACACACATCATAGGTTGTGAATACCCTGACTCAGACTTGCCACGACTGCCAAATGACCCAAGTAACAGATCTGTGATAGTCTTAGTGCTTTGTAGAGCAGAGCCTAGGACTTTCGCTTTCTCTTTACACAGGCCTTCTGAAAATTTTACCAGCATTGACCTCATAGGCTAGTGTTACGTTCTAACGCTGTCATTTGATGTTTCATTCAATGTAGAACAGATACATTATGGGATTATTACAAACTATTACTTCAGGTGGTTTCGAAAGCAGGTACCTCATAGGCTAGTGTTATTTCCTAACGCTGTCATTTGATGTTTCATTCAATGTAGAACAGATACATTATGGGATTATTACAAACAATTACTTCAGGTGGTTTCGAAAGCAGGTGGCAGCTTCCCTAAGTAACCGAGGTTCTACCATGTAGACTATCGTGAGAATATCATCATTAATAAATCTGCGTTAAGGTTACATGCTAAACAGTCTTTGGTCCTTGGTTGTATGGAACCATGGCATTAATTTGAAATGAGAATGTTTGATTTGAATGTATCTTGTGGAACACAAGCCAAACTGTAGTACCCACTTCAAATTTATATCTAACTTTTAAAAGCACTACTGATATTGAAATGCAGACTTAGCACATTATCAAACATGAATATTGGACCTAAAGGTATTAATCTCCATTTCATAATGATAAACACCTTCGACCCATTTGTCACCATTGCTTCATTTTGAATCTGATTGAAAAGACAATTCTGAAATCTGCCATCCAGTAAAATAAGTTTCATTCAAGATTGAAAAAGCGTTAACCTAAGAAATCCTAAATTTGAGGGACATTCGTTTCTAATGTCAAGCTCATGAATGAGTGAAATTCCAGACAAGAGTACAGACAAGAGATTGAAAAATATACATGAAAGTATGGTGATAAAGAAGTCAATGGCGTTTATCGTAATAGATTGGAGAAGAACACCTTTGATAATCAAGGATGGGTCTAGCCTTGTTTAAGGTTATAAAAAATAAGGGTGTTAGGACTTTTTGTCCTCATCTTTGGGCGACACTGTAGCCTGTTGGAGCCCGCTCCAGTTAAAGTTGGACATGTCTATTGGAAGACCATCATTTTCCGTCATAAAATTGGTATCAAAGTCAGCAAATATCCGTGACAGACCATTCAGGGGATAGTCACTGAGGTTTTTACCTCCCTTGTCCGGCGAGATCTGGAAAATTCCAAACTCGGTGAGAGAGTTATTAGGGGAACGTCCAATTTTCTGACTCTCCCCAAACTGAGGGGATCCGATGAGCTTGAGAGCATGAACAGCCTCCTCTTGTAAAATGTCCAGAAAACTACCATCAAAAGCCCCCGTACCCCGTAGAGGCGTCAGTCCGCGAATAGGGGATGGCAGGTGTTCTGGGGATATCGTAGCATTCCTAAGGGGAGTTGATGTGGTTAAAAGATCACTCTTATTCTTATCATCTGGTGATTGAAACAGCTGTCTTAGAGGAGTGGGTAAACCTTTCTCAAACTGATCATCTGGTTCAGAATCAGAGGATTCAGCCAACAGTGTCTTTTCTTCGGGAACTTTTGGCAACTTCTTGATCCGACTTCGAGTTCTTTTCTTTGGCTTGGGTGCATAAATCTTAGGTTTAGGAAGACCTTCAGCTGCACTGGCCTTTAACTGTTTTGCAGTTTGTTTCTTTTCTGTCTGTCCACTGGCCACAGAAATACCCTGTTCTTTTAAAATGGAAGTCAAAGCGTTCTCGTCTTCAGAGACATCGGCATTGAGCCATGCCTGTCGCAGGATGTTGATGCCAGGATGTGGCTGTATGGACTTGTCAGTGTGTTGGTGAGTCGGGGCACATGCAATCGGGACTGGGGTACTGATTGAGGCAGTTGTCTCAGTCTGGGCAGGGGTGCCACCCACTTGCTGTTGACTGTTGGGAAAATGGACAATGATTGGTTGTTGCTGTTGTTGCTGAGGCACATTGTGGAGTGGCACTAGAGCATACGCTTGCACTGGAGACGGTCGGGGCAGAATTGGCAAAGGGCCTGCAAAGAAAACGGTAGGGTTACACTGGTATTCAAATGTGTATGGGTGATTCAATACCAATACAATTTCTGTGATAAGTATTACACATACAATTATTGTGTTCATTATAGAAAAAAGGGGTGAAACAATGCACTAAACATTCAGAGTTTCACCTGATGCAAAAATACTTCATCCTATTGGCAAGAAAGTTAAGAATGGACGCAAGTCATATCAAATGAGAGTCCTAATGAGCGTGGACATTGGTTGTTTGTTGTTTAACGCTGCACTCAGCAATATTCAGAGGTCTGTAAATAAACGAGCCTGGACCAGGCAATCCAGTGATTGATATCATGAGCACCTTTCTAGGTCAGCGAGCCTGACCTCCTGATCTCGTAAGTTGCCTCTTACAATAAGCATAGCTGCCTTTTACAGCAAGCATGGGTTGCTGAAGGCCTTTTCTTCCCCTGATCTTCATGGGTCAGCGTGGATGTTGGAATGAAACTGACTGAGTGAGTGAGTGAGTCGGGTTTAACGCCGCTTTTAACAGTATTCCAGTTATATCACGTCGTGTCAGCTTAATGTGGGAGGAAAGCCCGAAGTGATGCAGGTCACAGACGTTTACCACTTCGGTGAAACCCACGAGCACGGGTATGGTGCTGGGAATGAAACTGAACTGAAGCATGTCAACATCAGTTTGTCTGATATTTATGTCCTGATAAGAAGTCCATTCTCAGACAGAAGGAGAACATCCCCATCTGTAATAACCATCAGGCATCATACATCTTTGTTTCATATTTGTTGCTGTTACATGACATCACGTTAAAATGACATTTCTCAAAATTTGACCATCTTCCTAAGGGAAAGGAGTTAACTGACTGTAAAAGTCCAGTTTTCATCCTTGTCAAACTAGACTGGAAATTCTGGTTAAGATCGCCACCAGTGGCTATTACGAGTTATGTCCCTCCTATTGACCAATCAGATTTCACCTATCATATCACTTGCATTTGCTTCAAACAACATGGAAGCTCCCAGTGAAAACAGTCTGATAGATTATCAAGATCTTTATTGTATTTATGAATGTATTTATAAATTTACCAAATATGTTTTGGCGGGGTTTCTATTCATTCCCTTTGATGATGGAATGTCTTCTAGCAGGGCAAGTGTTTATGTATGCTACCTCACTATTGAGATTTATAACTTACCATAACATACTGCCCTGGTAGAAACTACTGAACACAAACTATGGCATGGAGCAAGGGAGGTAACCACTGAATCCTGAGCATTCAACAACCTGTTTCCACTTCAGCATTCCAATAAAATGGCAATAAACAGTGTTCAAATTATTTATTGCCATTTCAAATTTGTTTTGAGGTGACGGGGCAATGAGTCTTTACAATGGTTGTACAAATTATGTCATTACAATAAGGTTAGTCAATTTTAAAACAGTGCCTCTTTTCATTCAATGGAATTACTGTCTATTTGCTAATTGTAAATAAATATAGTCACTGGAGAAAGATAAAAGAGAAAAAAAGAGCAATCTTTAAATGTGGTCTTAAGTCCAACAGGTCAATTGTGTGAAGACAGCTACCTGTTCTCTTCCTCCTGAAGCAAGCATGAAATGGGAACGGCTGCTGCTGCTGCTGTTGGAGGCTGGAGCAGCTAGAGGGTGGCACCGGGACAATGGATGGATGGAACACACTGTTGGGGTTGTTCTGGTTAAAAAACAACGGGATCATGCCTGGCAGTTGTGTGGTTGCCTGGATACAGTCAACTGTAGCCTTGTCTGAAGAAAACAAAGTTAATTGGTCAATACAGCAAATAGATATTTGTTGTTTTAATGCTGTAATATTCCAGCTACCTGACAGCAACCTGTAAATAATCAAATCTGGAGCAGACAATCCAGTGATTAATAGTATCAGTAACAATCCTTGCCGAGCCTGACCAGCACAGGTTGACGGGGACCAATTCTAACCCAGAATCTCCACAGGGTGCAAATACATGTACAAACTTGTGAGTGAAATAAAGTTTTCATCATGTAAGACAGGCACGAAGTTCCTGGGGACAGTTTCTATACCAGAATCCCCATGGGGTTTTAAGGTAAGGTTCACAAATAAACATGATCGAAATATGGATTGGTATTTATTATTGAAGGATAAACCACTTCCTTCCCTCTTTGTTTAGATGAAACATCCTGTGCATAGCGACTTACATGAGGTGATCACATAACTACCCCTGCCACATCACTCATGCTTACAGCTAACAGGCTAGACAAAAACAATCTTTACAAACATTAGCAGTCCGTTCTCAATGACTTTTTAAAGCAAGGAATGTTTTAATGTGTATTTAATGCCAGCCCATGTCAATATTTCATGTACAATGAATATGTATTCAAATAAAGATGAATGATCATTGTTTTTCGTATTGTCTTCAGTCTGACTTTTTGTACTCTGTGAAACCGGACCTCGTCGACTTTTTTACTGGTCCCAACTGTGTCCGAATTGGACAGATTCCGCTGTATATAAATATACAATTTGAGCATCAAGAATGATGAATGAGGTACCTTTGCTGCCTGTTCTGTTGTCTTGTTTCTCATCATCAAACTTGAGGGTCCACCTCGCTCCATGCTTCTTCTTGTCTTCCGATGTCCGGATGAAACACTGGTAGTACGACAGATTATGTCGTATCGAGTTCTGAAACAGCAACAGTCGTGAATCTGACCGACCTTTTACAGTTTGCTCTAGTCTTGACTGAAAAATTGCAATTACTTTGGAGATTCTCCCAACAAATAAGGCCAAGATAATCTTGACCCTGTCTTCCATGTCTACAGTGTTCAAAATTTGGGGCATCTAGGGTTGTTGAAGTTTACTGAAGCCCTTCACTTTCAGTGGAGAAAATGACAGAAAATGATCTCACTTATTTAAGATGTACCATATATCTTCCCCATGTTCACATTGTGGCACCAACTAGAAACATGCCAACATTTGAACCAACAATATGACAAAATGGGTGAGTGTGAGTGAGTGAGTAAGTGAGTTGGGTTTAACGCCGCTTTTAACAGCATTCCAGTTATATCATGGCATGTCAGCTTAATGTGGGAGGAAAGCTTGAAGTGGTGCAGTTCTCGGACGTTTACCACTTTGGTGAAACCAACGAGCACGAGTATGGTGCTGACAAACCTAGAAACTGGGATTCGAACCCACAATCATAGGTTTCTGGAGTGCCCAAGGGACGCTACTCTACAAAGCGAATTGCGGCGCCTTAGACGCCTGGGCCACCCGTGCCCCCCTGACAAAGTGACAGTTAATCATGGTCTATGGGGCAGACAAACAAATGAGGAAGTGACATCTGGCACAAGACCCTAGCTAACTTGCTGAAATTCATAAACAACTTTTAAAATGAATTATCGTATTATCATCATTAGGTGTTGCCATGACAGATTAACTATAGCAATAAGAAAGAATCGGCCGGTCATTTTTCTGCATAGTAAAGAAAATCTTAAGATTGAGCCAGTCTGTGGTTCAGTTACTTTTAAACATAATTTAACACTGCTCTAACTGTCTGTACCCACCTTCCATCCTGGCTTAGCCGTGTACTTGTAGAAGGCAAAGGTTTCCTCTATCCACTTGCATATCTCCCTCAAGGTCATCTTCTGGTCAGCGCGGCTCTGCAGCGCCATCTGGATCAGTACCATGTAGGAATACGGAGGGCGCTTTGCTCGCCCACACTCGCGATTTACCTGAAACATACATACACATGAGATACTGAGGTTTAACATTGATCATGTTTAGAGAACCGAGATAATTACGGATTATCTGTCCCGGTTGAATGATGTAGGCAATGAGCCTTTTTAGTGAAAAACATTGTGCAATAGATACATTTGCGAGGTAGGTATAAACATGTTTAATGTGGACAAAGACAAATTTATACTGAAACCTCATAATTGGCGATTACATTGTTATTTCTTTGAAATATAACAGGATAGACAGGGGTGTGAAATTTTGAGAGATGCCATTACACTAGTGTTTACATATACAGTAAACTACGGTTATAATGAACACGCTTAAAACGAAATGACGGATATAACAAACTTACTTTTTGGTCCCGACTATTTGCTGTAGTTATGCTGTATAAATACTTATAACAAACTACGGTTATAACGAACTAAAATTAGTAGTCCCTTTGAGTTCGTTATAACCGTACTTTACTGTATCATGATATAATCAGAGGTGTTTTACCATGTTTACAGTGAAAAGGCATACAATTTGTTTACTAATCAGAACTATCAGATTCAAACTCTGGTTTTCAGGTGTTCAGTGTGATGAGCCCACCCTTCCAAGCCCTACCCCACCACCCTCTGCTCACCCGGGCTATTTCCTCATGATTGTATTCCTTCCGCCGACCCCTCTCCTCGGACGTCCAGCGTGTGGCTACTGTGGGTGGGTCTGTCTTGTTGCGAGGTGGCTTCTCCCCCAGCTGGAACGCTCCCAGCCACTGAATGTTGGCCAGGGAGGTATCCAGGGACTTGTCACCGCCTTCAGGAAGAAGTGATGTGGTGTTAAATATGGACAATACATGCACTACATTTGAAATTAACATGTCTTCATAATGACCATTCTAAGCAAACCAAATGTAAAAGAGTGTATTCTCATGATTATCAGTCAGTAAAGACAAGATATCATATGGATGACAACTTATTTATCTGTTTATTCTATTTTATGGGATGTTTCGGTAAGATCCTTATACTGTTTCAAGCAAGAGTGACTAAGGATATAAGGATAAAGATATAAGGATCTGTACCGAAATGTTGCATCACAATAGAATTCAGAAGTTGTCATCCACATATTAAATATCATGTCTTTACTGTTTCTTTTTTTCTTCTTTTTTTTTATAAATTTTTATTCAGTCATATACACAGGATACATATGCATTCGAAAAACAGTACAGCTTCATGAATACAGGTACTTCTCAAAAGGATGTGGTACAGAGGAGGCCTAAGGCATAATCCACATCATGGTACGGATGAAGGCATATTTATGTATACAATTAAGAAGCTGCGGTATTTATGGTACATCAAATTATGTTGCAAGCATCAAGTGAATAAGTTATTTTGCAGTTTGAGTAAACAAAGCCCATTTTCTATTAAAGGCAGAGAAGTTGTTATTTCTACGTGCAATATGATATTCAACGTCATAGATACGTTGAAAGCTAGATAGAAAAAGTCTTTACTGTTTCTTACCATATATAACATAGGTTATATTATGGCTGTGTTCTTACCAACTTCTGAAAATGCCAGTCAAACAGTTTATGATTATCAGTGTTCGAAAAAAAGCCTGAAAGTTAGGATTTCAGAGCCATGTCCTTGTCATAACCTTAACATGCTTAAAGTTAAAGTTAAAATATCTAGGGGTCTGTTGATTAGAATACTATGAATTCTATAGAAGCAAAGTCAAAACTCAACAATAAAAATACAAGGCACTCGTCCAAAGTTTGTTGTTTAACACTGAACATTCCTGCCTGTAAATAATCGAGTATTGACCAGACAATCCAGTGATAATATTGTGAGCAATGATCCACGTTGTCTGGGTATGATGTCATGCAGTTAACCAAGTCATTGAGTCTGACCACCATATTCCACAATGTCCTTCTTATCAGTCTGAAATTTTTTAATCGAGAACACGTCAAAGTATGTTTCGAAGCGTAGTTGCCAGTTTGAAACTAGTGTCGTAAAGCTTGGGAAAGCTGACTTCTGATTGGCTAATGTCGATTTCTTGTCAGTCATTTCAGTGGTCGGTCAAAATTGGCAAAAGGTCTATGTTTAGCGGTAGCGAAAACTAAGATCTGATTTTAATGAGATTACATAACTCACTTGTCCAAAATGAGCTGTGGACTAGTTGGATATGAACAGTAGTGTTTACTCTTATGCCCTTGATACATTTACAATATTGTAACCATGGTAACACAAACAGTAACAATTGAAATCTTACCATCATCCGAAAGCTCAGTATCTTTCTTTTCTATGCTTGTTGACATGGGTCGTCGGCTGAATGTAATCTTGGTTTCAATTGGCCCACCAGGCCCAGATTGTGTGGTTGTAACAGAGGATGGAATCATCTCTGGTGTGCCTTGAGAGGAATGTAGTGATTGGCTGGACAGGTTCTGAGACCCCGGAGTCAAGACTGTAGATGACAAGGAGGACACGGACATGGATATTCCTGAGTCAGGCGATGCCCCCGAAATGTTCAGTGTTGATGTAGATGTAATGGGTGTTGATGATGCTAATGGTGATGGTGCATAAAGAGCCTTCACAGCTGCAGCTGCTGGCGGGGTAAGTACACTGGTGGAGGAGGGGGGCGGGTATTGGTTTGGGGACACAAGGATGATCTTGCGTACTGCAGGATGAGTCTTGTAGTCCAGACTCGGTGTTGGGGTGTTGAAGGAGCCAGTGCCTTGGGTCGCTGTTCCTGGGAATAAGTCTGGACTAGCAGACATCACGATCTTGGACTGCTTGATTGTTCCCGCCGGGGGTGTGATCGGGGACAGCTCGCTACAAAACAGATTTCTTTTCACAACTCCCTTAACACCAAGATCGCTTCCAACAGAAACTGGAATATGTGGTGGGGGATCCTCATGGATTCGAGTCCTCTTGGCTGACGGCAGGACCAGCCCCTCAGCTTCTTCAACATCCTCAATCTCATCGTCTTTCAGGAAGAGATTGGCTGAAGAGATGCCACTATCATATTCATCATCACCAATATTGGACAGGTTTTTGCGGAGGCCGTCAAGTGACTGTCGGCTGGAGGATTGGTTAAGCACCTGGAGTGACCCTGAGGTTTCAGCTTCCGTAACATCCCCATTCTCATCCTCCTGCTTGATAATGATCACATATGTCTTCTTTGCATCTTCCTCTAGAGCCTGCTGAGCGATGCCTCGTTTGGGAACTTGTAGTTCTTCAGGACTAAAAGCCAACTGCCCATTTCTACTGGTCATAGTTGACTGTCATGCAAGCTGAATTGTTGTGGGATCATCACCTGTAACAGGGTGTAGATAAGAGCTAAACATCCATGAAGAACTTGCTCAGATTTTCATGTCAAGTTTTATCATGTTTATGTTGATTCATTCATTACACTAGTCTCTTGGCCTGAGCCCAGAATTTTTTCTCAAGTAACAGTGAAATATATGATATGGTGGTCAAGTAGTCTGGTGATATTTTGGGAAGCTTTAATGATCGGAAATTGAAATTTTGTGCCAACTCTAATCACTGCCAGCAACCTAAACAAACTGCAAGATATATTGTTTTCTTTCCATGTGTTCTATATTAATCACCAATTGTACTATGTTCTGGTCAGGACAACCAGAGAATGCCCTATTTTAAACTTATGCAGAGAAACCAAACGCAAAATATTGATAAGTCTTGATAAATCCATGACAGGGATGAGAATATTTTGTTTCTTCAAAGACACTGAAAGTTAGTGGTTTGAGGGGCTTTATGATTTATGCTTATATTGTAATCATCAGTACGTATCAATAGTGACCCTTGACGTAATGAAATCTGTGGAAAATTCTCATCCCAGTGTAATGTATCTTCAATATATGCATTGCATGAATGAATGAATGAATGTTGTTTTATGTTCATGGTGCAGTCTGCAATAATCCCATTCAGTCCCATTAAAATACTATTGTATTAAAAGTCAAATTTAATGTTTATCATATTTGTGTCAAATTTAAACAAAGCCTCCATAATCATCTTGGAGGTTTCTAAATTCTACATAGGACTGAGCTAAGCATTTTGATTTCTGTATTATGAAAATGAATGTAAACAGGCAGTTCAGAATGGAGAATAATATAGACTGCCCTAGTTGTTGAGCCCTAATACATCTACACACAAAAGGTTTTATTATTCAGGGAACATTTGTGCTAAGTATGGGTTTTCTTTTCTTAAGATCAAACATTCCAAATCAAGGTGGTAAAGAAATGAATGCAAATCGTTTTAGAAACCTTACACCTGATTAGCTCAAGTTGACAACAAACAATACATCCTTATGTTTTTTTATTGGGCGGTGAAAGTTCAATCAGGGTTCACCTGACATGACTTGGAGAGTTTGTCAGATCTTAACAGGAAATATTGAATTGGAGTAAAAGATATGATTTGAATGACATTGTATCCCACTTCAATCACCATTTGTGTAAATAATTCAACCTTGGGCCTAGCAAACAAGCAGCAGTGTTTCACCATTCTCAGACTAAAATATGTACATGATGTTGGAGCTACAAACTTATGTACTTTGTCATTTGTCTATGTTTAAAATATATATGTCACATATTCATGTTACAAAGTACAAATCCATCCAACAGCATGAACACAGTCTGATTAATTTGGATTGATACTGATTTTGCATCAGTCTTCACAAGCGTTGTTTATTGAGCAGTAACAGAAAAAACAGTACATAGTTTTGATTATGCAGCAATCATGGCAATCAGGGGCCAAGTAAGGAAAACCTTTTGCTTGAATTTAACCATCTGAATCTTTCTTAGCCATGTTAAAATTGTTATTCTTAGACAGTAAACACAGCTGACAACACCAAACATTGTTTTTTTTTACACCCAAAAAATTCCTATCATCAACACTGACATATATCGGTAGAGGACAAAATCCAGCTAGATACAAAACATTGTGTTTGAATAGCAGCATGGAACACATAGCCTACAAGGGGTAGTTTGGAGACTACTGAACACACAGGTATTCATACTTTGTATTCATTCCTGATAGCTTTATCTGAAAATGGTGAGGCCTTTCAGCATGTTCAGCTACCAGATGAATCATTTGTATTTTGTTCCATGATCATAATGATATTCATGACATATCAGGGAAGGTCAAGTGTCAGTAATCAAAAATACTATATATGCTGTCAAACTAAGACCAAGTGTCTTGAACATGTTAAACTTGAAGAGATTTCTCAAACAAAATAAGATGAATCTTTGAACATGTTAGGCCTACTTCAATAGCTGTTTGTTCAAAGAAGGCACATATGTCTGGAATCCGATACTTTATTCCAAAGAGTTGTATGTACTTGACTGTTTTATTATTAAATGTATTTATCATATAACTGCAAATAACTTAAATACAAACAATAAAACTTCGTTAAATGTTCAAGTTCACCATCCATCCATCCATGACGAAACTAGTCACTAACGTCTCTCAAAACCATAAATCAAAAATAATTCTTTACAACACTCGCCAAACACAAAAAGAAGGCCTTACCTCATCCTAAGCGTATTTGGGGTACAATAGCACTAATGAGAAAGTGACAATTCGTGTTGAAACATAGCTTAATTGCTCATAATTGATGGAAAGCAAGTCTGAGCAAGATTGTCAACCATTTTTAAATTTTGAGGCACGAAATGAACAGACCAATCAGCGTTAAGGATTGAATATGCGCGAGATTTCCCGATATCTGTCTTCCGAACTGCATGTGTGTAGTTTCTTTTCATTGGCTAACATTTTCATTTTATCCAATAGACAGAGACCTTTCAAACTGTCTGATTATATTGATCATGGCGACTGCATGAAAACATTGTGACTGAATGAGTCTGGACATGTCCATTGATTTTAGCGGGCAAGTTCGCTCTTGTGTCATTGTTGATGTACAGTATTAATGTGCCGTTCGATAACCAATTATTATGACCGTCCTTTGTTAAACTACCAAAAGTTTCCCATTCAAATATGTTCGATTATCTACAAAACGACATGGACTCTACCTTTCATGTTGTTTTATTTCACACTTGCAAAAAACGCATTTATAACGATCGATGCAGGAATTATTGGAATGAGAGTGATAAGACTGTAGACCCTCAGTCTATATTCTATAAATAGACTTGTTAATTTTTGTCGTCAAGGGTTAGGTTCCCGTAGTGTTTTAACAACTAAGACCCCAAATCTTTATGCAATGTTTACATTTGAAGTATTGAACAACTACCAACAACTAAGGAATGCGTACGCATAACTTGATGTCGACTTTTGTGGTAATATAGGCCTATAGATGAAACTAGCACATTGACCATGTTGACACATATAACATATGTAAATAAATTCGAACTTTGGAACATGGAACAAAGTGACCAAGTGACGTCATAACGAACTGTTTTAAATGCATGTTATTGTTTGGCACAATATAATGATGATCATGATGATTACAAAGACATTTTGACCATGTTGACAGATGGAGTTCTTGCAAACTGTACAGAAAAATAATATCAATGCTTTTTTTGACCTGTTAAAAAGAAATATTATTAAATACATTAATCATGTTAATCTACCTATAACTCCAGGACCCTGCTACAAAACAAGTTTTCTGGACCTGCTAACACGTTTTGTAGTTTGGGACATAACACTAGATTTCAAGGCGTACATAAATTACTGGGCATTTGTCTTTTGACCACTACCCACTTGTGTCATTATGATTTGCCATAGGCTTGGAAACATCGTCATGTAACACATTGTGTATCTTCAAAATACCGCAAAGTTTTGTTTTCAGCAAATTAAGTTTACAATTTATTGCGATATCAGAGGATCTAGATATATCAATAAAATCATTACCTCACTAGTGAATCGGGTCACAGTCTGCTGTATTCAAACTTCAAGGTGCCATCCATTATTTAAATGGTAGAAGTTTTAACGCAAGAAATAACATCTGAAATCAGAGTAGAACACTTTCCATGTTTACATATTTGAAGTTTACTGCATTTTAACAGATAAAATCAGTGTTCCCGTTTACTGGTAATTACCAGTTTTTTTACCAGTAAAATTAGGCTTGGACCGGTAATTCATCTGACTGCCAGTCCCTGTGGACTGGCAAATAAAGTACTAATAGATCTTTGTTGTTGAACACTAAATCGTTGATATTCATATATTCAGATATAAGTACATTTTTCGAAACAAAGTCAGCTTGTCTGTTACCATCAGGGTTTCCCCATGTCTATTTCTAGGTTAAATATCCAGTTGTAGCGTCTTTGTCTCAAAATATTAAAAAATAAAAATAAAATTGTGACTGAGTTTATGTGAATGATGTATAGAGCTAACTAAGTTACTTCAGAGATGACATCTTTGCACTGAACATGAAGTTGAAAGAATTAAAACCAAATAATTTTTATATGTTTTTTAATTGTTGAAAGTTGGGACTGGCAAAAATTAGAGGGGATTGGTAATTTTTAGAGTTGCCAGTCCACAAGGACTGGCAGTTTCAAAAGCCAGCGGGAACACTGAAAATGTGTCTGATTTTTTTTTACGCTTGTAATTGTGCACCATTTTGAATAGACACCACAGGTTACCTCCCTTGCCTTTTGATATCAGGTGTATGGTGATTTGATAGGGGGATAATAACCTACCTTGTAATTTGAAGGCATCACTGAAAACTCAAGGCAGAGTACAAATAAAGAATTACACCCCGTTAAGAAAGAGTTACCACTTTTCGCGCATTTCAAATAAATCTCTGAACACCCAGTAATCTGAGTGCAGCATTGAAATTTGCATACACCTTGAAATTAAATCTGGTGTTGCTTCCGGATTTAGTTTGGCAGACTTTCCTGAAATGTGTCTATTTTCATGATCTTAGATTACAGAATCCATCTGAAATAGTAAACATTGGTGTGGCATTGTTTCTCTTAAATATGGTAAATATATCAATTAATTGTTTTCATATGTCAATACCAAATGAATACAGGATCAGTTTGAAAATTCGTTTGCTTTAAATAACATTCTCACTCACTTTAATCGATCTTACAGTGTGATTTCTATACCATATACAAAATAGTAAAATTGTTTTCCATAAGATCATGATAATATCAAAATTTTGGGTTTTTGAATTTTCAATATCACAACTTCACCTTACCATAATTTCAGATATGCCAAGGAAAGGTTCCCGAAAATCTATACTTGAAAAGAAACCCAAATTAGATTTTGTCAAGAGCCCTGTAAGTGGCCCTGGATGTCCTGTGTCCCCTGTCCTTGGAGCTCTTCATCCTCTCACAGCTAAGGCCATAGCTGCTGATGAATCCAATCTCACATGGGTAGGATTTCTATGTTCAAATTCAAATAGTCGAAAATAAATGTCTCAAAATTAGGCTCAGTAAACATGTAAATTATTTCATATATTTGCTGTGGTTGATGTTACCCATCCTCAGTTATTTAGCATATTATCTCTCCGTTCCATTATGATATATGGTATGGTATGAGATATGATATGATATGATATGATATGATATGATATGATATGATATGATATGATATGATATGTATACCCTTGAGCCATACACCATCCTCGGTTATTTAGCGTATTATTATCTCTCCGTTCCATTATGATATGATATGATATGTATACCCTTGAGCCTTACACCATCCTCGGTTATTTAGCGTATTATCTCTCCGTTCCATTATGATATGATATGATATGTATACCCTTGAGCCTTACACCATCCTCGGTTATTTAGCGTATTATCTCTCCGTTCCATATGATATGATATGTATACCCTTGAGCCTTACACCATCCTCGGTTATTTAGCGTATTATCTCTCCGTTCCATATGATATGATATGTATACCCTTGAGCCTTACACCATCCTCGGTTATTTAGCGTATTATCTCTCCGTTCCATTATGATATGATATGATATGTATACCCTTGAGCCTTACACCATCCTCGGTTATTTAGCGTATTATCTCTCCATTCCATTATGATATGATATGTATACCCTTGAGCCTTACACCATCCTCGGTTATTTAGCGTATTATCTCTCCGTTCCATATGATATGATATGATATGTATACCCTTGAGCCTTACACCATCCTCGGTTATTTAGCGTATTATCTCTCCGTTCCATATGATATGATATGTATACCCTTGAGCCTTACACCATCCTCGGTTATTTAGCGTATTATCTCTCCGTTCCATTATGATATGATATGATATGTATACCCTTGAGCCATACACCATCCTCGGTTATTTAGCATATTATCTCTCCGTTCCATATGATATGATATGATATGTATACCCTTGAGCCTTACACCATCCTCGGTTATTTAGCGTATTATCTCTCCGTTCCATATGATATGATATGTATACCCTTGAGCCTTACACCATCCTCGGTTATTTAGCGTATTATCTCTCCGTTCCATTATGATATGATATGATATGTATACCCTTGAGCCTTACACCATCCTCGGTTATTTAGCGTATTATCTCTCCGTTCCATTATGATATGATATGATATGTATACCCTTGAGCCTTACACCATCCTCGGTTATTTAGCGTATTATCTCTCCGTTCCATATGATATGATATGTATACCCTTGAGCCTTACACCATCCTCGGTTATTTAGCGTATTATCTCTCCGTTCCATATGATATGATATGTATACCCTTGAGCCTTACACCATCCTCGGTTATTTAGTGTATTATCTCTCCGTTCCATATGATATGATATGTATACCCTTGAGCCTTACACCATCCTCGGTTATTTAGCGTATTATCTCTCCATTCCATTATGATATGATATGATATGTATACCCTTGAGCCTTACACCATCCTCGGTTATTTAGCGTATTATCTCTCCGTTCCATATGATATGATATGTATACCCTTGAGCCTTACACCATCCTCCGTTATTTAGCGTATTATCTCTCCGTTCCATATGATATGATATGTATACCCTTGAGCCTTACACCATCCTCGGTTATTTAGCGTATTATCTCTCCATTCCATTATGATATGATATGATATGTATACCCTTGAGCCTTACACCATCCTCGGTTATTTAGCGTATTATCTCTCCGTTCCATTATGATATGATATGTATACCCTTGAGCCTTACACCATCCTCGGTTATTTAGCGTATTATCTCTCCGTTCCATTATGATATGATATGATATGTATACCCTTGAGCCTTACACCATCCTCGGTTATTTAGCGTATTATCTCTCCGTTCCATATGATATGATATGTATACCCTTGAGCCTTACACCATCCTCGGTTATTTAGCGTATTATCTCTCCGTTCCATATGATATGATATGTATACCCTTGAGCCTTACACCATCCTCGGTTATTTAGCGTATTATCTCTCCGTTCCATATGATATGATATGTATACCCTTGAGCCTTACACCATCCTCGGTTATTTAGCGTATTATCTCTCCGTTCCATTATGATATGATATGATATGTATACCCTTGAGCCTTACACCATCCTCGGTTATTTAGCGTATTATCTCTCCGTTCCATATGATATGATATGTATACCCTTGAGCCTTACACCATCCTCGGTTATTTAGCGTATTATCTCTCCGTTCCATTATGATATGATATGATATGTATACCCTTGAGCCTTACACCATCCTCGGTTATTTAGCGTATTATCTCTCCGTTCCATATGATATGATATGATATGTATACCCTTGAGCCTTACACCATCCTCGGTTATTTAGCGTATTATCTCTCCATTCCATTATGATATGATATGATATGTATACCCTTGAGCCTTACACCATCCTCGGTTATTTAGCGTATTATCTCTCCGTTCCATATGATATGATATGTATACCCTTGAGCCTTACACCATCCTCGGTTATTTAGCGTATTATCTCTCCGTTCCATTATGATATGATATGATATGTATACCCTTGAGCCTTACACCATCCTCGGTTATTTAGCGTATTATCTCTCCGTTCCATTATGATATGATATGATATGTATACCCTTGAGCCTTACACCATCCTCGGTTATTTAGCGTATTATCTCTCCATTCCATATGATATGATATGTATACCCTTGAGCCTTACACCATCCTCGGTTATTTAGCGTATTATCTCTCCGTTCCATATGATATGATATGTATACCCTTGAGCCTTACACCATCCTCGGTTATTTAGCGTATTATCTCTCCGTTCCATATGATATGATATGTATACCCTTGAGCCTTACACCATCCTCGGTTATTTAGCGTATTATCTCTCCATTCCATTATGATATGATATGATATGTATACCCTTGAGCCTTACACCATCCTCGGTTATTTAGCGTATTATCTCTCCGTTCCATATGATATGATATGTATACCCTTGAGCCTTACACCATCCTCGGTTATTTAGCGTATTATCTCTCCGTTCCATATGATATGATATGTATACCCTTGAGCCTTACACCATCCTCGGTTATTTAGCGTATTATCTCTCCATTCCATTATGATATGATATGATATGTATACCCTTGAGCCTTACACCATCCTCGGTTATTTAGCGTATTATCTCTCCGTTCCATTATGATATGTATACCCTTGAGCCTTACACCATCCTCGGTTATTTAGCGTATTATCTCTCCGTTCCATTATGATATGATATGATATGTATACCCTTGAGCCTTACACCATCCTCGGTTATTTAGCGTATTATCTCTCCGTTCCATATGATATGATATGTATACCCTTGAGCCTTACACCATCCTCGGTTATTTAGCGTATTATCTCTCCGTTCCATATGATATGATATTTATACCCTTGAGCCTTACACCATCCTCGGTTATTTAGCGTATTATCTCTCCGTTCCATATGATATGATATGTATACCCTTGAGCCTTACACCATCCTCGGTTATTTAGCGTATTATCTCTCCGTTCCATTATGATATGATATGATATGTATACCCTTGAGCCTTACACCATCCTCGGTTATTTAGCGTATTATCTCTCCGTTCCATATGATATGATATGTATACCCTTGAGCCTTACACCATCCTCGGTTATTTAGCGTATTATCTCTCCGTTCCATTATGATATGATATGATATGTATACCCTTGAGCCTTACACCATCCTCGGTTATTTAGCGTATTATCTCTCCGTTCCATATGATATGATATGATATGTATACCCTTGAGCCTTACACCATCCTTGGTTATTTAGCGTATTATCTCTCCATTCCATTATGATATGATATGATATGTATACCCTTGAGCCTTACACCATCCTCGGTTATTTAGCGTATTATCTCTCCGTTCCATATGATATGATATGTATACCCTTGAGCCTTACACCATCCTCGGTTATTTAGCGTATTATCTCTCCGTTCCATATGATATGATATGTATACCCTTGAGCCTTACACCATCCTCGGTTATTTAGCGTATTATCTCTCCATTCCATTATGATATGATATGATATGTATACCCTTGAGCCTTACACCATCCTCGGTTATTTAGCGTATTATCTCTCCGTTCCATATGATATGATATGTATACCCTTGAGCCTTACACCATCCTCGGTTATTTAGCGTATTATCTCTCCGTTCCATATGATATGATATGTATACCCTTGAGCCTTACACCATCCTCGGTTATTTAGCGTATTATCTCTCCATTCCATTATGATATGATATGATATGTATACCCTTGAGCCTTACACCATCCTCGGTTATTTAGCGTATTATCTCTCCGTTCCATTATGATATGATATGATATGTATACCCTTGAGCCTTACACCATCCTCGGTTATTTAGCGTATTATCTCTCCGTTCCATATGATATGATATGTATACCCTTGAGCCTTACACCATCCTCGGTTATTTAGCGTATTATCTCTCCGTTCCATATGATATGATATGTATACCCTTGAGCCTTACACCATCCTCGGTTATTTAGCGTATTATCTCTCCGTTCCATATGATATGATATGTATACCCTTGAGCCTTACACCATCCTCGGTTATTTAGCGTATTATCTCTCCATTCCATTATGATATGATATGATATGTATACCCTTGAGCCTTACACCATCCTCGGTTATTTAGCGTATTATCTCTCCGTTCCATATGATATGATATGTATACCCTTGAGCCTTACACCATCCTCGGTTATTTAGCGTATTATCTCTCCGTTCCATATGATATGATATGTATACCCTTGAGCCTTACACCATCCTCGGTTATTTAGCGTATTATCTCTCCATTCCATTATGATATGATATGATATGTATACCCTTGAGCCTTACACCATCCTCGGTTATTTAGCGTATTATCTCTCCGTTCCATTATGATATGTATACCCTTGAGCCTTACACCATCCTCGGTTATTTAGCGTATTATCTCTCCGTTCCATTATGATATGATATGATATGTATACCCTTGAGCCTTACACCATCCTCGGTTATTTAGCGTATTATCTCTCCGTTCCATATGATATGATATGTATACCCTTGAGCCTTACACCATCCTCGGTTATTTAGCGTATTATCTCTCCGTTCCATATGATATGATATTTATACCCTTGAGCCTTACACCATCCTCGGTTATTTAGCGTATTATCTCTCCGTTCCATATGATATGATATGTATACCCTTGAGCCTTACACCATCCTCGGTTATTTAGCGTATTATCTCTCCGTTCCATTATGATATGATATGATATGTATACCCTTGAGCCTTACACCATCCTCGGTTATTTAGCGTATTATCTCTCCGTTCCATATGATATGATATGTATACCCTTGAGCCTTACACCATCCTCGGTTATTTAGCGTATTATCTCTCCGTTCCATTATGATATGATATGATATGTATACCCTTGAGCCTTACACCATCCTCGGTTATTTAGCGTATTATCTCTCCGTTCCATATGATATGATATGATATGTATACCCTTGAGCCTTACACCATCCTTGGTTATTTAGCGTATTATCTCTCCATTCCATTATGATATGATATGATATGTATACCCTTGAGCCTTACACCATCCTCGGTTATTTAGCGTATTATCTCTCCGTTCCATATGATATGATATGTATACCCTTGAGCCTTACACCATCCTCGGTTATTTAGCGTATTATCTCTCCGTTCCATTATGATATGATATGTATACCCTTGAGCCTTACACCATCCTCGGTTATTTAGCGTATTATCTCTCCGTTCCATATGATATGATATGATATGTATACCCTTGAGCCTTACACCATCCTCGGTTATTTAGCGTATTATCTCTCCATTCCATATGATATGATATGATATGTATACCCTTGAGCCTTACACCATCCTCGGTTATTTAGCGTATTATCTCTCCGTTCCATATGATATGATATGATATGTATACCCTTGAGCCTTACACCATCCTCGGTTATTTAGCATATTATCTCTCCGTTCCATATGATATGATATGATATGTATACCCTTGAGCCTTACACCATCCTCGGTTATTTAGCGTATTATCTCTCCATTCCATTATGATATGATATGACCAGAGCTCCAGATAAGCTGCATATCTGTGTAAAATACGCATTAGAAATGCAGAAATACGCAGTAAAATTAGATAAAACTTCAAGCAGTATGAATATTAAGACAGGCTTCTTAAGCTACCAGGAGTTCCCATTGTATTTGAGACACGTACATAATAACACGATTCGAGTCCTTGTAACCAGTATCGTGCGGTTTGATGGCTGTTTTAATGCTGTGTCATTCGAACACAACTCAAAATTATTCTTTGGTGGCTGATGGGTCCAGGTTGGGTCACAACGGAATGGAAATATGATACCCTGGATAATAATCCCTTGTATTGTTTATTGTCACAGGAATTTATCTAAGAATCCATATGAGGGGCCCTTGGTAGGCAAACTGGGAAGCAACTGAGTTTTTCTTAAACTGATTTTCAGAAGAATTTCAGCATTACAATACTGTAAAATTAAATATTTACAGCCTTATCTTCTTTATTGGTCCTGTTACAAGTGGAATCTTGATCAAGCCAACATTAGAGACAACTATGTTACATGAAATGGGAATGTTTCAATACATTCGTGTAGTTTTGGGCATGCATGTTTGGCATCTGAACAGGTCTAGGTAAGTCCCTGTATCATCTGATTTATATGTCTTTATTGGGGGCTGCTGATCGACCTGTTAGAAATATGTACCAATAGTCTGCAACTTAGGCCAAAAGTAGTGAGTGAGGGAGTTGTTTTTAACGCCACTTTTAACAGTATTCCAGTTATATCATGGCGGGTCAGCTTAATGTGGGAGGAAAGCCTGAAGTGATGCAGGTCTCAGACCTTTACCACTTCGATGAAACCCACAAACACGGGTATGGTGCTGACAAATCTAGAAACATAAACGGGGCAAACTGAAATCGAATCCACAATCATAGGTTTCTGGCGTGCCCAAGGGACGCAACTCTGCAGTGCAAATCCCGGCGCCTTAGATGAAGGCCACTTGTATGAAGCCTAAGTCTAGTACAACTACAAGTATTTTCAGTCTTGTAAGCTCAGCTAATAATAGTTCACACAGTACCACTTGTGGAAATGTTTGTCACAGACTGTACAGTACCTATCTCTTCCTTTATCACTCGCCTCCAAACATATATTTGGCTTCCTGATCATGTTCATCAGAAGTTAATTTTGAAAAGTGTTGTGTCATAAAACAATTTAATTAATGAGACTAATGTGGTAATTGTTATGTTGTTCATTACGTTAATTTTTGTTTTTCATCAGATTTGAACTTGATGTTTTTAAACTGGCATGTGTTTTAAAACCTGACCATACATATTTTTGCATGTTATAGTCAAGCAGTTTAACTTGCACCTTTGTCATGTTTTTAGATCTCACCAAATTTCCTTGCTCGGCAAGGTTTGAGCCATGGGAAAATTAAACTACTGAGAGGAAAGAGACTACAAACACGACAGAGACATGTCTCAGGCGAGAAGGAGAATCATGGCGATAGTAGACGAGGACAAGCTCTTGGAAGACTCAAACCTTTGGCATTTCTCACAGATGATGCCACTGACGAATCACTGGAACTCCTTCAGAGTTTGACACCACCACGAGATTTCTCTGTGTCTAGGAACCTCTGCCCCAGTCCTACTTCTGATGTCCAGACTCCTGAAATGAAAGAAAATGCTGGTGATCAACGTCAGTGTTCTGACAGTAGTGTGCTTGTGAGGAGACAGCTTAGAAAGGGAGACAACTCAAGTCATAAATCGATAGCTGATACAGTTTGCAAGGCACCAAATCTGATTGAGTCGCCTTTAAGGATATTAAACTTTTCAGTTGAGGATAGTCAGTGTTGTGATCCGTCTCAGATTCGTAGATCGGCAAGGTTACGAGAAAAGTACAAGGATTCAGTGAAGTTACTGCGAACTCCGCCGCGACGGGTTGTGAAAGATGCTAATGTGTTGGTGGTGGATACTCCGGAGAGCGACTACGGTCTGAGTCTCCGAAGAAGACAGTTGGCTAAGCTGAGGGGATGTGTTTCTGGAAAAACATCCTGAATACTTTGAAAATAGTGTGAAGTTGCATAAGAGTGAATCTGTATGCTTGAACAGAATGCTACTGCACCATGGTACCTTGAAAGTGTTCAGATCATCACAGTGGAAAGGTCATTGTGTTTCACATTCAATAGTCAGAGGTTATCATCCATGTATTTTCTCTTAACAATGAATCGTTTGCTGTTAATAGTATTACATAGTAAATAGTAAATAGTATTAAGTACATGTTCCCAAGGCATCAGTGTCCACTAGCCTTTATCAAAATCTAGTTATTACTCTTGCCCTTTTCTTGACTCAGTCCTGGCGCCACCCTGCGTAAGCATGAGTTCTGACCCTTGTGATGATGTCAGTGCACTAAGTCCCCTTGGGCAAGTTGATTGAAAACTTGGAAAGACCTCGAAAATATTAGCTTTTGCTTAAGTGTTGGAATAATTTCAGTGCAAATTCGACTCACAATGATTGTGGCCATTGTAGCTGCCATGTTTTTGGAACCCAAATGTTGATTTTGAAAACGTTATCTTGTTGGACATGCTAGTCCTCTCCTGAGAAAAGTTGGCTGGAAAGGGCAAAGGTGAAAACTAGACTTTGAAAATTGACACTCTCGTCTCAGGAAGATGCTTAAAATTGGGCGAGATCAATTTATTTACTTGCTTTACAAATTGGCCTGTCGCTCAGTCCCTTCAGTACCCTCTTGCCTTCACGTATTTATAGGATGATAATCTGGAAAACAAGTAATTAAGTTGGTCTAGCCTACAATGTTTAAGAATGGTTTCCTTCTCAATCATTTGTACATCATGTTTGTGATTTGACCAGGCCAAGTATGTCTTCTAATTTGTGAATCAGCTTGTCAAAAGTGTCATAATGTTTGTAATGATTGATTTAGCATGTTTATGAGTAGCCTATGATTAACATGTATTTTCTAAATAACTTTTTTTTTATCTAGGGGCGGTGGGGTAGCCTAGTGGTTAAAGTGTTTGCTTGTCACATGGAAGACCAAGGTTCGATTCCTTACGTGGGTACAATTTGTGAACCCCATTTCTGGTGTCCCCTGACCTGATATTTTGACATAAAACCATACTCATTCATTCACTTAATTCATGTAACTTTATCTTTAATCTCATGCTTATCATGGTCATGTGATATTTATTGAATTCCTGCATGTGGGTTCGAATCATGGTTCGCCCCGATTATGTTTCTAGGTTTGTCAGCACCATACCCATGCTCGTGGGTTTCACCGATGTGGTGAACGTCTGAGACTTGCATCACTTCGGGCTTTCCTCCCACATTAAGCTGACACGCCGCGATATAACTGGAATACTGTTAAAAGCGGCGTTAAACCCAACTCACTCACTGATTATGAGCCTGCTTTTTAATAGAACATCCATTAAACAAAAAGTATTTGCAAACATTGGTCTGCCATAACTCAGTATGGACGTGTTGGATCACAAATATTGATTACTGGATCAACTTGATAATTGCTCTAGTTGTGTAACTATCATTATCAAACATGTATCTACTGCAAAGATATAAAGTCATGATGAGAAGCTACTGATGAATTGTTCCAGTTCAGTAGTGTTGATTGTTGTTTTGTGTGTGTTAAAGTGACCTGAATGGAGAGTGGGTGTCCCCAAAGCCTGCTGAATGGAAGATAGCTTAGTGTCGATTGAGGTAGGGGACAATGATATGGAAGGCCATGATACGATACATAGCTCGATACACTGCTCATGATGTGATACATATCTCAACATGCTCAATATGTCAGAACGACAACATGAACAACTCAAAGGCCATGAACTGAAATACTCGTATATTTCTGATGAGTGAAAAGGTAACAAGACAGGGAAGCCAAAATGGTCCCAAACAGCTGATTTGAAGGATGCAGACGGCTTTATCATGTTTATAAGCTCACTTTAATCCCCTTTTAGATAGGGTTATAATTTTGTTAAGAAAGTCAAAAATAATATACTTTGTATCATGAAGTATCACAATATGTCACATATGTATTAAGTATGTATCATATGTCTTATAGCAGGTCATGTTACTTGGTGCATCTAGTGTGGATAGATGCTCATGATGTCAATCACTGGATTGTCTGGTCCAGACTCGATTTTTTACAGACCCTGTCATATAGCTGAGTGCGGCGTTAAACAACAAACAAACTTAGGTAGAGGAAGCCTCTCTAGCTTGAAGATTGCCCATTAAGTCTGACTGACTGTATTTTGTATAGCCTACAACATGTACAACTAAACACCTGATGCCAGTCATGTGTCAACTTCCAACTTTCTTAAAGTATCAAATTGTGTTGCCATTCCACATCATTTTGGCACCTGTGAAGATCTGTGTCAGAATAGATCTTCAGCAACCCATGCTTACCGTAAAAGGTGACTATGTTTGTCGATAGAGTCGGGTGTCAGACTGGCTGACATGGTTGATGCATGTTATCGATCCCAATTGTGTAAATCGATGCACATGATATCAATCACTGGATTGTCTGGTCCAGACTCAATTATTTACAGACCACCGTCATATAGCTGGAATATTGCTCAGTGCGGCGTTAAACAACAAACAAACAAAGCATCATTTTGGGCAAACTTTGTTCATCACATTAATTCGGGCCTATTGACGATTAGTTATCATGATTAAATGATACAGAAATCGCTCTATTTGATTTTGTGTTTGTTCTATTTAAGATGTCATACATTTCCATGATCATATGACCAACACTACCATGTTAATGTTGTTACCCTGAAGACGTGGATCAATCTTAACCTGTTTCTTGATTGTGGCAATTAACCATATCCTCCTTGAATGCTGGGGGCCCTGGTCGTCCTGTTGCCACCAGTAGCTGTGCAGAGTTGTGTCCCTTAGGTGTGATGGACGTCTATGATCATAGGTTCTAATCACAGATTTTCTTTGATTCCTGATTGTTTCTGAAGTTGTCAACACCATATCTGCGCTGGGAAACGTCAAAGATTTGCTTCACTTTGAGATTTCTTCCCACATAAAGCTAACTTAACTGAAATACTGTTCAAAGCAGTGTTGACCAAACTTACTGAGTACTTGAATACATGAAAGTGACCTGTTGATGCAATAAATTAATACAAAATATCCTTCTTGTTTTTGACACTGTCTACTGTGACGAGGGTAAATATGTTCTGGAGCTAATTTGCTTGTATCTTGGTTCAACGACACACTATTTCGACCAGTCACACAGTGACTGGTATTGTGACCCATGAACCAGGAGCGTAGTATGTTGTCATTAAATCACCTTATATAGGTTGCAGGGAAGAAGTTCTAAACTGGAATCCACATGGGGGTTGTTTCAAATGATGTCATCCATTGTTAAGATGGATCCATGACAATATTCCAACAATAGATTCACTGATATGATGTCTACACATATTTCTACAATTTCACAGAAAAATTACTCTGGGAGTGACCACCTCACAACTACAGATAACTTGGAAGATACTTCTTTCTGTGATGTCAACTCCAAACTGATAAAATGTGCCATGGAGAGTTGTCAAATTTACCAGTGTTTAGAGTTCAGTGATTCACCAGTGTCGGTTGCACATTTGTGTTTGGGCAGACCCCTTTTTGAAAGTAGTGAGGTGAGGTGAGGTGAGGTGAAATTGGGTTTAACGTCGCGTCCAAGATTATTGCACTTATATAGCGACGTGCATGCACGTTTTTTTTGTGTGTGTGTGTGTGGCTGCTTGTACTAGTCCGGGCTGATGCCGATTTATAGTGCTAGCACACTGAGATACCATGCCGCAGTTTAACATGAATACCCCACTCAGAGACAGTATACTGAATCCGAGCCGACCAGTCCTTGTTTTAGCCCCTTAATGCCGAGCGCCAGACAGGGTAACAACAAGTACCATCTTTTAACGTCTTTTGGTATGACGCGGCCGGGAATCGAACCCCGGACCTTCCGCTCTCCGGGCGGACGCTCTACCAGTAGACCACAGAGGCCGTCTTTTGAAAGTAGTGTACAAGGTTTCTGTCAAGCTCCATGTGCTTCTTAATTTCCTGCCCTGGAGAAACCTGGGTCGATGGACATATCACAAATGACACTTGGCATTTAAGATGTTTTATTGTTTTGCATAACCATAACAATATCAACTTCTTGGATAGACGATAATCTTGAAGACCTTGGGGGTTGCACGGGTGGCCCAGTCGTTTAAGGCGTCACAATTTGCTGTTCAGAGTTGGGTCCCTTGGACACGCCATGAATCTATGATTGTGGGTTCAAATGGGTTCGATTATGTTTCTAGGTTTGTCAGCACCATACCTGCATCACTTATTAACATTAACGCCACTTTGAAAAGTATTACAGTCATATATAACATCATGTCAGCTTGAAAGCCTAAAGAAATGCAGGTCACAGACGTTGACCACTTTGGGGAAACCCATGAACACAAGTATGGTGCCGACTAACCTAGAAAAATCAGGTCATAGGTTTCTGGGACGCTAATGGATTGCCACTCTGAACAGCAAATTGCAACAACTTAGAGACCCACAACCCCACCTCCACTTTAGACCAATAATGTTTGGTTGGTCATCACCACGTATCTAAATTACCTCAGTCATAGTGCTAAGATCGCCTTGTGAAGACCGAGGTCAGTGTGTTTATTCTGCCTTTACAGCATACATGTAATGATATTCACATCATTTTTACGAAAGAAAGGGCAAATATTTCAGATGTCCTGAAAGGTCCAAGAATCCAAGGCCATGACTTGCATCTTCCCGAGGCAAGGGAGTTCACTGCCTGTAAAAGTCCAGTTTCCATTCTTGCCGAACTAGGCTGGAATTTCGTTGCTCGATCATAGTGCCACCAGTGGTTATTACAAGAGTCCTGTCCCTTCTATGTCCCTCCTATTGACCAATCAGATTCCACCTATCGTGTTACTTGCATTTGTTTCAAACAAAATGGCAGCACCTTGTGAAGACGATCTGATTGATAATCAAGATCTACATTGTAATAAAACGAGTCTTACCTCGCGAAGTGCATCAAATTACTTGAGCACCTTGATTAAAAACATGAAAACATTGGGAAAATATCTTAGTTGACAGTACAATGCTTTGCAAATCCTGCAATCTACAGATATCTGCACAGCAGTTTATGAACTGGAGGACAATTTCATTACAGGATTTTGATGAGACTATGCATAGACTCTTAGTCCAGCGAAAAATAACTCTGAAATCCCAGCCACGGTCGGCAAGGGTTGAAACTCGACTTTATAGGCTGTTAACTCCCTTGCCTCGGGAAGATGGCATCTTGCTTCAAAATCGGGGTTGGATATCTGAGGGAATAATAGAATAGAACACATATACATGGCCGCAAACAACATCTCCATCATACAATTTTTCAAAGATTACTCCAAAATGAGCAATACATATGTTTTATCACAGCAGTAAATAGGTGTGCTTCTCACAATTTGCAGTGGAAGTTGTGCAACATGGAAATGCATATTTGTGTTGACTGAAGGCCAGTCAAATGCAGCCAGTGATGTGTAATGTCGACAGCTGAGTATGTATGTCAATGATCATGCATGGCATTTAGAGACTAGAAACTGCAAGCGTATTTACAACCAGTATCACAGATGTGGGCACAATCACAACAAACACATTGCAATAACCAGTGGTGGATCCAGAGAGAGGCTCAATATCCCCTACCCTCCCCTTAAAAAAACAAGTACAAAAATGACACCCGTATCCCCCACCAGTAAAGTTAAGAATGAAATAACATGAAATACCCCCCTCCCTCACAGACCCCTCATAAACATCATGGATCTGCCTTAGTAACACACTAACACAATCTCATTCAAATCAGATCTTAGTTCTCGTCGCCAAACAAAGATCTGAGGACATCCCATTACGGGTCACGTCGGAATGACCTTTCATCTGACCAATCAGAGCGTCGCTTATTAGATCATGAATGTGACAGTAGGCATGTGTTTTCTAATCAAGCAACCTTGAAACCGTTAACGTGGGGTATTCTGAGCGGCAGTTACGGCCTGTATGACTGATTCCGTCAAAATTATCGTCTATCTCTTGCTCCCTTTGGGACAGACATTTGAATGGAGGAGGCGTTGCACAGTACGTGGGAAGCACTGCCATACAATCTCAACCATATATTAGACATTCCGGAATGTTTGTTTGTTCAGTTTTCAAAATTTGAATCGAGAACTGTGTCAACATATTTTTCAAGCGTAGTCTGAAATGGAAGTCGCCAGGTTGAAACAAACGAGTGTCGTAAAGCTCGAGAAAGCTGCTTTCTAATTGGCTGAAGTAGACTTCTTGTTAGTCGTTTCAGTGGTCGGTCAAGGTCTACCCGCCTGCAAAGAACTTACATCTGATTTTAATGAGATTGCACACTAACAATACATTTTTTATCTTTTATTTAGGTCAACTCTGCACGCAGCAAAAATTATGTGCAGTAAATTCATGGGTTCTTAAGAAATGCTGCCCTGGCTTTTTTGCATCGGGACATTTGCACATTTAGACACACTGATTGACTGTTGACTCCATACTTCAACCACAGGAGCCATTTAAACTTGAATAACCTTGAATACAATTTCACCAGATTGATTCAAAGCCCTTCTCCCTAAACCATCAATGCTTGATCCGTCAGTCAATGTAATTTAGCGACGTCCAGAATAAATATATTAAAAATTGCATTTGTTTGGGCAAGATTTGTTTGTTGGATGACTTGATAGAGATTTCATGAGAAGGGCAAGTTACAGTATCTTTAGAATTAACCCTGGGAAAAACATCTTTACAAAAAGAAATAAAAAACCGTTCGTGTCCATGCCTAACAATGAACAATGCTAGGGACATTTTGATAAGAAAAACTGTAGGCCATTTCTAAATTTATATTAAATATTATCAATTAATTTTCAAACTAAACACTCACAAAACAAATCAGGACACAAACTGTAAGGAATTTGATAATTTGAGCAGTTTGCATATTAAGTAAAACAAAGTAAAACAAATAAAACACATGGTTCAATCATTTTTTGTGTGGCAATATAGATATTTATGGAAGTTAATGCTGATTGTGACAGTACAATCTCGTGAGACATTGATATTGATATAGAATTTTTATCAGCCTAAATCATGATTGTTACAGAATGTTGTAAAACTCTCAGAAAATATAAGCCGTTTTAAAGGATGAAAAATACTGCTGATTCAGCAGCTCTGCTCCAGCTCGTCATGATTGTCAACCAATAAAAAATAAAACATTTCCCTCTTTTGGCTGGTGTAAATATTCTGTAACGTTCACTAAACTTAAGTAGTTTTGACAAATTTTTTACATTGTTTTTCATAAAATAACAAGAGTGACAAAGCAATCATTACCAAAGTCTGGTTATAATACTTGTATACATGCTAAGTTAATTCATAAAAGAGTTTCTTATCATCTTTAGCATGAAACACTTTTAGTTTAGCCAAGGGTACAAATACCTGGTTTTATCCAGTAGATACATATTTACTTCACACACTAACAAAGTGTCAGCAGCTTGTAGAACATCCAACAGTAACACCTGCTTCATCCTTGATCATCCAGTGTACTTAACCTCCATTCTACAACAATACCGGTATATACCTGGACCAAACCGCCGCCATATATTCAGATGTGACTGCCTCCGTGGTAGAGCATCCTCCTGGAGAGCGGAAGGTCCGGAGTTCGATCCTGGCTGCGTCATACCAAAAGACGTTAAAAGATGGTACTTGTTGTTACCCTGTCTGGCGCTCGGCATTAAGGGGCTAAAACAAGGACTGGTCGGCTCGGAGTCAGTATACTGTGTCTGAGTGGGGTATTCATGTTAAACTGCGGCATGGTATCTCAGTGAGCTAGCGCTATAAATCGGCATCAGTCCGGACTAGTACAAGTAGCCACACAAACACACACACACGTACATGCACTTCGTTACATAAGTGCAATAATCTTGGACCGACGTTAAACCCAATTTCGCCTCACCTCACATTCAGATGTGATTTCCCCATCACTATCTCTCATCACTAACTTAGCACAAAACTTCACTCACTTACGAGCTTGAAATCAACAACAGTTCAAGTTGCCTTACTGAATGAGAATTTGGCATAGATCCACCTGCAACGATGCGGCCTTGTACGAGCGAGCCTTGATAAACTCAATCAAATCAGAACAGTGTTATATATGAACTTTCAGGGTGGTGGGGTAGTCTAGTGGTTAAAGCGTTCTCTCGTCACAACGAAGACCCGGTTTTGATTCCCGACATGGGTACAATATGTGAAGCCCATTTCTGGTGTCCCCCACCGTGATATTGCTGGAATATTGCAAAAAGCAGCGTAAAACCATACTCACTCACCATGTATGAACTTTCAGCCGAATTATTTTTCCCCAGAGTATGAGTGAGTGAGTGAGTATGGTTTTACGCTGCTTTTAGCAATATTCCAGCAATATCTCGGCAGGAGACACCAGAAATGGACTTCACACATTGTACCAATGTCAGGAATCGAACCTGGGTCTTCGGCGTGACGAGCGAACGCTTTAACCACTAGGTTCCCCGACCGCCCCCCAAGAGTATGAAGACAGGGAAAATGTCATTAAGCAACAAGATGTTCACTGTTTGAGACAGCATGCAACATCAAGTACTGCTGATATTGTCACTGGTTTCAATCATGAAAAATGTATTGTGACTGGTCGGCAACTTTTCATGTCGTGTCATTCAAACGCCTCAAAATAAAGGTCGCAAATATGTCCAAGGCATTTATCATAATAGAATGGCAACATAATACACTGGAAAATCAGGGATGCGGCTGAATCGACATGACTATTTCACGCAATGGTGTTATGAAAATGAAAGTGGTCAAATCAATCCACAGACGCCACATGTTTAGGGTACCGTACAACATGGTCAAACAGGATAGAAACACACACAACGTCTTTATGCCAAAAGGGCAACCATTAACAGAGTGGTGTTTGAACGACTTAAATCAAACTTGCTGGGACGGCCAATATGTCCGAGCCTAGTTCCTCTCAATAACACGTTTGTTCCCATGGCAACATCAAATGATATTTGCATGAAAACATCTCAATGCAAAATCAGTTTCATTCAGTCTCCAACTATTTAATCAGAATATCCATACAAAGATTTCTACCATTATATTTTAGAATTCCAAGTTCTATATTCAGCAGCATTGAATCTACATAAAGCCAGGACTTTATTGAGGACCGCGTCAATGTGAAAGAATATATTTTCTTGAAAGCACTACTTTGTTAAAGCTGACCACGAGGCAATTTTAAATACTGATTTCACTAAATCATGTGTTGTGGTTCATAGATTATTTAAAGTGAATGTGGAAATATATTTTATACAAAAAATGCTAATGTGTTTAGTTTTAAATGAAAATTACAGGTCGGAAATCTACACTCAAAACCCTTAAATTGAAAACAGCAGATTTTCTCCATAATGCCACTACATTGGACTATAGTACAGGTGTGGTGACTTTCAATCTACCACATATAAGGCAAGTTTTTCTTACCTAGAATTAGGGGGGGGCACTCTATACACAGGGTAGAAGAGTTTGATGTTTTTCCCCAACACAAAGACATTACCATGAGCATGTTACACTGGTAAACTATGTCAACAAATCCTGCTGAAGTATGCCAATTAATCATGTAATTACACTGTCTGGTTATAAAAAGTGTTCAATGTATATCATGACTTATGTTTGTGACCTATTTCATTAAAAATTTCATCCAAAATTGTTTACATTAATTTTGGCGAAATCGCATGTGAAGTGATTAACTTGTCGTTAACATAAAATACAATTTAAACGGTACATTATCATGTGATGTTTTATCTAAAATTTCAAATTTATATATTGACCAAGTCTATCACCTTTTCATTTACCTGATTTGCTGAAGGTAAACAACGGAAGACAAACATGTTTTTTGCTAATGTAGGGATTGTGTATGCACTGGTGATGTGCTTCATTCCAGATCGCTTCATAGACCGGGTACATAAATTAGCCTAAATATCGAAGGTTTTTACAGGGGAAGTCCCTTCATAGATGGTGATATACGGTACACTAATCATACTTCAGATAACAGATTTCTTCCCTGTGAGGCTCATGTCGGTCCACCCATACACCATGAGGGACAGCCACACCAGGACTAGATGAAACACCGGTCTACGAAATGCTGACATGGCATTATTTATACACAAGTACATGTACATGTTTATGTGCAGACGTTTTGTCCATATAAACAGTTACCAGATGGAAGTGTTTTGTTTGTTACCTGACAGTGTCATCACACCAAACTTTATCTTTGTGATTTACATAACAATACCAACAAAACGGAAAGGTTAGAGAGAGCTATGCTCCTTGGCCAAGAACTGCCTAGCTCAAGACTAAGTGTCAAGCAATGTTCGTGGATTATCTGCAGTCATAAAGCACCTGTATGTTAATTCACAAAATGGACTACTTTTCCAAAACATATCTCTGCTTGCATCAAGAATCTCCTTGACATCATCTGTCATGAGTATCTCCGAGAGGATGTTCCACAAAGCCAGCAGTCTTATCACCCCCATTGTTTAATTCTGTTACTTTAACATAGACTTGCAACAGTCGTAGTGCTAAGATCGTTTTACAAAGGGGCCTGGAAAAGTTTGTTTGTTGCTTGATGCCACTTCAACAATATTTCAGGTATATGCCTCTGTATGAAAATAACCAAGTCTGGACCATACAATCCAGTGATTGATAGCATTACCAACATCCACACCAACCAAGTCAGCTGAGCCTCACCACCCATTCCATTTGGTTGTCTCACCCCACAATCAGGCTGTTGGAGACCAATTTTAACACTGGAATCTCAACATGGTTCAACTTGTACTTGATTATTTTCAAGTCATTTAATCTTCAATTCTTGAATGATGATGTACTCGGAATCTTTTCCTGCGGCTGTCATGTATAATTAACTACTTTGGGTTGGTCTCTCTGCTGTATGTGGTCAGGTATGACGGTGACAGAGTTGTCTGTGATGTAGTTCGCGCTGACTGCATCGCCGCAGACACTGATCAGGCACTGACTCTGAAAGATGACATAGAAAATGAAAGTGACAATGGCAATATCTATTTATGCATCAGGATAAACTACCGTCCTGAAAAAGTCCATTCATTAGCTTCCAACAGTTGTTTGTTTGATCAGTAGTGCCTCCTCGATTATCCAGTGTATTAAATCTCCATTCTATTGTGATAAATACACTAGACCCACCATCGCTTTCTTTCAGAAGTGATGTTACTATCTTAATCTCTCTTATCACTCTCTGAACACATTGCTCTTGCTCCAGAGGATGAAATCAACATTTCAAAATTCCTCTTCTAAATTGAAGTACAGCATAGATCTACCTTTATGCAGCCAATGCATCATCCTGTATGCAACCAGTGCCTCATCCTGAATGCCCCCAGTGCATCCCCCTCTACTCACCTGGTTCTTGTGAGGGTTGCTGTTCATCACAGTGCCTCATCCTGTATGCCACCGGTGCATCCCTCTCTACTCACCTGGTTCTTGTGAGGGTGACTGTACATCACAGAGCCTCATCCTGTATGCCCCCAGTGCATCCCCCTCTACTCACCAGGTTCTTGTGAGGGTTGCTGTACATCACAGTGCCTCATTCTGAATACCCCCAGTGCATCCCCCTCTACTCACCTGGTTCTGGTGAGGGTTGCTGTACATCACAGTGCCTCATCCTGTATGCCCCCAGTGCATCCCCCTCTACTCACATGGTTCTGGTGAGGGTTGCTGTACATCACAGTGCCTCATCCTGTATGCCACCGGTGCATCCCTCTCTACTCACCTGGTTCTTGTTAGGGTGACTGTACATCACAGAGCCTCATCCTGAATGCCCCCAGTGCATCCCTCTCTACTCACCTGGTTCTTGTGAGGGTTGCTGTACACCACAGTGCCTCATCCTGTATGCCACCAGTGCATCCCTCTCTACTCACCTGGTTCTTGTTAGGGTGACTGTACATCACAGAGCCTCATCCTGAATACCCCCAGTGCATCCCCCTCTACTCACCTGGTTCTTGTGAGGGTTGCTGTACACCACAGTGCCTCATCCTGTATGCCACCAGTGCATCCCTCTCTACTCACCTGGTTCTGGTGAGGGTTGCTGTACATCACAGTGCCTCATCCTGTATGCCCCCAGTGCATCCCCCTCTACTCACATGGTTCTGGTGAGGGTTGCTGTACATCACAGTGCCTCATCCTGTATGCCCCCAGTGCATCCCCCTCTACTCACCTGGTTCTTGTGAGGGTTGCTGTACATCACAGTGCCTCATCCTGTATGCCACCGGTGCATCCCTCTCTACTCACCTGGTTCTTGTTAGGGTGACTGTACATCACAGAGCCTCATCCTGAATGCCCCCAGTGCATCCCTCTCTACTCACCTGGTTCTTGTGAGGGTTGCTGTACATCACAGTGCCTCATCCTGTATGCCACCAGTGCATCCCTCTCTACTGGTTCTTGTGAGGGTTGCTGTACATCACAGAGCCTCATCCTGTATGCCACCGGTGCATCCCTCTCTACTCACCAGGTTCTTGTGAGGGTTGCTGTACATCACAGTGCCTCATCCTGTATGCCACCGGTGCATCCCTCTCTACTCACCTGGTTCTTGTGAGGGTTGCTGTACATCACAGTGCCTCATCCTGTATGCCCCCAGTGCATCCCCCTCTTCTCACCAGGTTCTTGTGAGGGTTGCTGTACATCACACTGCCTCATCCTGTATGCCCCCAGTGTGTCCCCCTCTACTCACCTGGTTTTTGTGAGGGTTGCTGTACATCACAGTGCCTCGTCCTGTATGCCCCCAGTGCATCCCTCTCTACTCACCTGGTTCTTGTGAGGGTTGCTGTATAGCACACAGTGCGTCATCCTGTATGCAACCAGTGCGTTTCCTCCAAGGGAGGCCACATGGGCACGGACAATAGCCATCACTTCTGCTACAGCTGTCTGCACAAAGCCTCCCAACCCACCATCCTGCATGCAACAAAGTCAAGCAATTACTCTCAAATTGCAGCATTGTCATAAGAAATTACAGCATTGTCATAAGAATCTTAAGGAATCTGACCGAAACATTCAAATCTTCAAACAACGTCATAACAGTGCACAGAAGATTTCTCTTACATCCTTCTTACTATGTAATCAACACCTTCATTGAATCAACTATGTAATCACTGACAAATACCATCACTGCATGATGGCCAACTGTCCAAGAACTTATCAAAACATACAAGAACATATCAGATGCCATAGTGTCCACTTGATCCTCACTACAGTCACTTCTTAATAGCTAGTACTTGGGATCTACTCTGTCCTGAAACCCATACAAGGACTAAGCATGGGGTACTGGGGATATACTCTGTCCTGAAACCCATACAAGGACCAAGCATGGGGTACTGGGGATCTACTCTGTCCTGAAACCCATACAAGGAGCAAGCATAGTGTACTGGGGATCTACTCTGTCCTGAAACCCATACAAGGAGCAAGCATGGGGTACTGGGGATCTACTCTGTCCTGAAACCCATACAAGGACCAAGCATGGTGTACAGGGGATCTACTCTGTCCTGAAACCCATACAAGGACCAAGCATGGGGTACTGGGGATCTACTTTGCCCTGGAATACCCACAGGGAGACAAGCTTTGGGTACTATGGATCTACTCTGCCCTGGACTACCCACAGGGAGACAAGCATGGGGTACTGGGGATCTACTCTGCCCTGGACTACCCACAGGGAGACAAGCGTGGGGTACTGGGGATCTACTCTGCCCTGGACTACCCACAGGGAGACAAGCATGGGGTACTGGGGATCTACTCTGCCCTGGACTACCCACAGGGAGACAAGCGTGGGGTACTGGGGATCTACTCTGCCCTGGACTACCCACAGGGAGACAAGCATGGGGTACTGGGGATCTACTCTGCCCTGGACTACCCACAGGGAGACAAGCATGGGGTACTGGGGACCTACTCTGCCCTGGAATACCAACAGGGAGACAAGCATGGGGTAGTGGGGGTCTACTCTGCCCTGGACTACCCACAGGGAGACAAGCATGGGGTACTGGGGACCTACTCTGCCCTGGAATACCCACAGGGAGACAAGCATGGGGTACTGGGAACCTACTCTGCCCTGGAATACCAACAGGGAGACAAGCATGGGGTAGTGGGGGTCTACTCTGCCCTGGACTACCCACAGGGAGACAAGCATGGGGTAGTGGGGACCTACTCTGCCCTGGAATACCCACAGGGAGACAAGCATGGGGTAGTGGGGACCTACTCTGCCCTGGAATACCAACAGGGAGACAAGCATGGGGTAGTGGGGGTCCACTCTGCCCTGGACTACCCACAGGGACACAAGCATGGGGTACTGGGGATCTACTCTGCCCTGGACTACCCACAGGGAGACAAGCGTGGGGTACTGGGAACCTACTCTGCCCTGGACTACCCACAGGGAGACAAGCATGGGGTACTGGGGACCAACTCTGCCCTGGCCTACCCACAGGGAGACAAGCATGGGGTACTGGGGACCAACTCTGCCCTGAACTACCCACAGGGAGACAAGCATGGGAGACAAGCATGGGGTACTGGGGACCTACTCTGCCCTGGACTACCCACAGAGGGACAAGTATAGGCTACTCAAACAGGTAGACCCACTTCTACTAACCTCTCTGACTGATGTACTTTCTCTGATGAAGAAGAAGTTGTAGTTGCCAAGATACTTCTCTATCTTGCCACCTGCCACTATAGGAAGGGGAGATAACTCTACACCATTAGGATGCCTCATTGGAGGTGTCTGAAACAGGGTTAGCATTGCTGTCAAAATCTCAAATAACAGTAAATACTTTATACTTAATGGTGAGTCTTTAGACCACCACAGTTCACTTTCTCTATTTAGAGAAAATTATATTCCATATGTTACTCATAGGGTCAAGGTTATTGGTGCTATCATTTTCAGTAATTTTCACTTCTAACTTTTGTTTGTTGGTTTGTTGTTTAACGCCACACTCAGCAATATTCCAGAAATATGACAGCGGTCTGTAAATAATCGAGTCTGGACCAGATAATCCAGTTATTGACATCATGAGCATTGATCCACACAATTGGGATGATGACATGCATCAACCAAGTCAGTGAGCCTGACCAACCGATCCTGTTAGTCACCTCTTATGACAAGCATAGTCGCCTTTTAGGTCAAGCATTGGTTGCTGAAGACCTATTCTTCCCTGGATCTTCACGGGTCAGCATCATAACTGCTGCTTCTCGCTGACTGCCTAGTTCGTTCCAATTGTTCAACTGTTTTCATTGCTTGTGAAGAGGCCAATTACAATGTGACGTAATACAATCTCATTAAAATCAGATCTTTGTTCTCGCTATTGCTAAACAAAGATCTGAGGACATCCCATTACAGGTCATGTCAGAACGACCTTTCATCCAACCAATCAAAGCATCGCTTACCAGATCATGACAGGGACAGTCGGAATGTGTTTTCTAATCATGCAACCTCGGAAACGTTAACACGGGGTATTCTGAACAGCAGTTACAGCCCATATGACTGATTCCTTCAAAATGTTATCTATCTCTCACTTTCATGGGATAAACATTTGAACGGAGGAGGCGTTGCACAGTTCGTGGGAAACACTGCCATACAATCTTAACCATATATTAGACATTCCGGAATGTTCGTATGTTCAGTTTTCAAAATTTTAATCGAGAACTGTGTCAACATATTTTTCAAGCGTAGTCTAAAATGGAAGTCGCCAGGTTGAAACGAGTGAAGCTCGAGAGAGCTGCTTTCTAATTGGCTGATGTCAACTTCTTGTTTGTCGTTTCCGTGGTCGGTCAAAGTTCGTGAGGGGTCGTTCTGACTTACCTAATGGGATGTCCTCAGATCTTTGTTTAGCGGCAAGAACTTAGATTTTATTTTAATGAGATTGGACGTAATATGAATGCATTGTTGCAAATAAATAAAGCTGATGTTCTTCCATTGTTCCTGGCTTCACACTTTCATATCACACAGGTCAACAGAGCTTATGTCTCCATTTGAGAACACAAGACCTACATTTTCTCAGAAGAAAGACTATCGGTAATAAAAAGAATAACTGGCAAGGCTCGACAACTTACAAATTAATTTACCAATTAATCTGTAATTCAGAGCAGCTTGTAGGTTATTCTCTAATTACATCTTGATACATGTAAAGATACCACCTGCATGTAGTGTGTGAGAGCAGTTCCCACCAAGAACATTCTAGTGCAAGTGTGTACCCTCTGCTCCCAGGGGGAAACAAAACCAGGTCTCGGCATGATGAATGAACACTTTAAGCACCAGTGTACCTACTGCTGATCTCCTTAACATCAGATCTTTTACAACAGAATGATATCTCTCTGCTTGACGATCTGTGTAACCCTTAATAGGAGGACTTTCTTATCAGCCAATAGGGTTCTACCTACTCGGTGGAGTGAGGAAATTAGAAAGAAGACAAATGGGAAACAATACAGGCTGCATAATATAATCATTTAAGAAAGCTGACTGGCTGAAGAGCCCATGCATCCTGATTGGGCAGACAATGTTTGCTCCTGTCATCTTGATGGGACCTCCTATGGACAATTAATCAGATCTTGACTTAGAGTGGTGTCCCCACTGCCTGATAGAAATACTTACTGCTTTGTACTGAAACTCTTTCTTGATAGCTTCTACCTTCATTGACTTGATAACTGTAAGACAAGAAGCATATCTATTCTTAAAAAATCAACAAAGTAATTGGTCAAGTTGACATATTCAAAATGTCTGCCATTTTGGTCAGATTTCATATAGGATATATATAGGATAAGAATTTTTCTCAATAAATCCAATGCTTGGATCATGCGACACGTTCTATCTTCATAGCGTGTTTGAGCAGAGCTGTTGGCAGGGCAACAGATTTACTGGTCAGAGATTTCCCATACCTTTCCCTCCTGCAGGGGTACTTGTTTCTGTTATATCCATTGGGAACATCATGTCTTCCCCCTCGCCTGTACCTGAAGCTGAAACAGACAAACATTGTTGAGGGAACATCGCGTCTTCCCCCTCGCCTGTACCTGAAGCTGAAACAGACAAACATTGTTGAGGGAACATCGTGTCTACACCTCACCTGTACCTGAAGCTGAAAAAGACAAACATTGTTGAGGGAACATCGTGTCTTCCCCCTCGCCTGTACCTGAAGCTAAAACAAACAAACATTGTTGAGGGAACATCGTGTCTTCCCATCTCGCCTGTACCTGAAGCTGAAACAGACAAACATTGTTGAGGGAACATCGTGTCTTCCCCCTCACCTGTACCTGAAGCTGAAACAGACAAACATTGTTGAGGGAACATCGTGTCTTCCCATCTCGCCTGTACCTGAAGCTAAAACAAACAAACATTGTTGAGGGAACATCGTGTCTTCCCATCTCGCCTGTACCTGAAGCTGAAACAGACAAACATTGTTGAGGGAACATCGTGTCTTCCCCCTCACGTGTACCTGAAGCTGAAACAGACAAACATTGTTGAGGGAACATCGTGTCTTCCCCCTCACCTGTACCTGAAGCTGAAACAGACAAACATTGTTGAGGGAACATCGTGTCTTCCCCCTCGCCTGTACCTGAAGCTGAAACAGACAAACATTGTTGAGGGAACATCGTGTCTTCCCCCTCACCTGTACCTGAAGCTGAAACAGACAAACATTGTTGAGGGAACATCGTGTCTTCCCCCTCGCCTGTACCTGAAGCTGAAACAGACAAACATTGTTGAGGGAACATCGTGTCAAATTCTCAAAGTCTGATATCCAGAAAAAACACACCTTCATGTTGTAAGTCAATAAAGAAACAGCTCAAATCATCATAATTTTTATCTGAACATGAATGAATAGCACACTATTGTTTTTTAATCTGTAAGTTTTTAACTGCTCCCTTAGCATTGACTTTATTACAGTTTTCTTTGCAGAAGAAAGATTTATGCACATAATGTGAAATTACAGTGGAACGAATATATTCTACCTGACTTCTGGGGGGTCTTGGTGGCAGACTGAGGCAGACTGAGATGTCCTGTGCTGGCAGTCTGCCGGATGTCGCTAACGCCCAGACAGCACCCGGTCACTGATATCTGTAAAATAGGGTTCCGATTTCATAGACAAAGACAAAGACAATCATACTGTAACCCAGAATCATACTGTTTGCAGAAATCATACTGTAGCCAAGGAATCATACTGTGATCCAGGAATCATACTGTGATCCAGGAATTATACTGTGATCCAGGAATCATACTGTGATCCAGGAATAATACTGTGATCCAGGAATCGTACTGTGATCCAGGAATCGTACTGTGATCCAGGAATCGTACTGTGATCCAGGAATCGTACTGTGATCCAGGAATCATACTGTGATCCAGGAATCATACTGCTACCCTGGAAAAGGTTTTCCAATTCCTAATGACAAAGGATGAGGTAGGTTAAGGGCCCTTTTTTAGCTCTCTGGAAATGTCACCTTCTAAAGTTAAGACAACTTGGAAATACTTTCACGAACCTTATCAGAAATTATTGCTCCTCCCTACCTGTATTTCATCTTCGTCTGGGATTTCCACGTTGAAGTCCAGCCCTGCCAAACACAGGGGAACCAGCTTCCGCAGCTTGAAGTAGATTTTCTAAAAGAAAAGTACATAATATATCAATTAAACATGGCAAAGGATCTGGTCCATTTGTCATTTGTCAAGCTGCATGGGCCTTGAGTGGAAACAGAAAATTGCTCTTTGTGCAACTATTTGCTCTACACATTTGTATTCTATTCATGGGACTTAATTATTTGGCTGTTCTCTAAGAAAGAGAACTTGTGACAGTTCTTTATTGAAAAAAAGTCCCAAACAGTTGTGAAAACTACTTTGCCTTGCCCTTGGTTGAGCTCGAGTTGAGTTAGATTTTACGCTATCGGCAGCCTGTTTTCAACATGGTGGGGTATAAATTTATTCTCTTGCTCAGAATTTCTTATCTCTCCCAGGCAGGATTCATTGTATTTAATGAACCAACCAGACCTCAATATTTGGACATGAGTGAGTGAGTGAGTGAGGTTTTACGCCGCTTTTAGCAATATTCCAGCAATATCACGGCGGGGGACACAAGAAATGGGCTTCACACATTGTACCCGGGTTTACAGCGTGGCGAGCAAACGCTTTAACCAAAAGGCTACCCGACCGCCCCTTGCCCTTTGTTCTCACAACTGTGACTTAATATCACTCTGCCTCAAGATCTTACGCAGAAATTATGAGTTTTCAGCTTTCTAAGTCTTAATGATGAGTATTTGTTGGCCAGAGATTTCATTCGGATGATGATGCTAGTCAAAGTTTCAGATGTTAATATAAGGCTGATTAATTTCAACTATATATGTAACCATTAGTGTTTTGGGGGTTCTTTGCATAGAGAATCAATACAATCATATACATGTCAGTATATGTTTGCTATTAAACATGTCTTACCCTAAGTAAGCTTTCGAACATGTTGGCGAAGTCTGCCTTGGACTGTGGTGCCAGTCTACCCCGCCACACTTGTGTAAACATCTGAAAACAATACGAAAATAAGACCACAGTACAGATTTTAGGCTTTAAAGTTTGCTAACCAAAAAGGGTGATGAGCATAAAAGTTGAAACAAAAATATAAAAATATTTTTAAAGCTCAATATCTTGGCGTCAAGTAATTTTGCTTTAGTGGGACAAGAATACTTGTGAAAGTGCAGGATGTTTACAACTTTGTTTGCAGGTCAAAGACTTTTATCCCTTTAGTGTAACCAATGTTTGTCTATCTATTTGTTGTTTAACGCCGCACTCAGCAATATTCCAGCTATAAAACAGCGGTCTGTGTAAATAATCGAATTTCGGACCAGACAATCCAGTGATTGATATCATGAGCATTGATCCACGCAATTGGGATCGATGAGATGCATCAACCAAGTCAACGAGCCTGACCTCCCGATCCCGATAGTTGCCCCTTACGACAAGCATAGTCGCCTTTTACAGCAAACATGGGTTGCTGAAGACCTCTTCTACCCCCGATCTTCACAGGTCTGGACAGAACACAGAACTTCCTTCTGTCAGAGACATCTTTGTTCTGTTGATACAGAGAATCTCACCCGAGTGCCCTATGATATGAAATATACGAACACAAGTCAATGCCTGGAATTACACTTTTATCGACAAGTGTTGATAAACTGTATTTGATATCAAAGACACTCAGGTGAGATTCTATTTATAATCCAAAATCATTCTTTCAACTTTCTTCAGTTTGTAAACAGTAACAATCAATGTCTTGAGTAAAATTTACAGTGAAGCAGTTTCAGTGGCAGAGAGGTATGTGATGTCATTTGAGTGTGACATCATGGTAAACAATGACATCACAATGGTCTGTAAAGAATGTGATGCAATTTCATTGAAGCGATATTTCTAGGAGCTATTGCTTGAGCTCACACAAGCAATATCCCCTGTGGAAGCCAATTTTGGATGATGAAAGGGAATTTGCATTGACCAGAGACAATATGAAATGCATTTGCTCAATAATAATGTGAAAGTTAACAAACAACTTTGTCTTGATCTGTGTGCTCACACATCAAGCTGTGAAAAAAATGGAAATACTGTTCAAAACAGTCTTGAACCAAACTCACTAAATACTTCTTGTTGTTTTATCATATTTCCGTATCCAGTCAGACAATGATTGATGAATATATACTATTCTTTTTTCATTTCTGATTGTGTAAATTGATCTAGTCAGTCAAATCCATTAAAATGAAAGTGTTACTTCTTCTAAAATGTGGGACCTGTGAAGACCTGGGGTAGAATAGGTCTTCAGCAACCCATGCTTGTCGTAAATGGTGACTATGCTTGTCGTAAGAGGCGACTAACGGGATCGGGTGGTCAGGCTCGCTGACTTGGTTGATGCATGTCATCATATCCCAATTGCGTGGATCGATGTTTATGTTGTCAACCACTAGATTGTATGGTCCAGACTCGATTATTTACAGACCGCTGTTATATAGCTGGAATATTGCTGAATGCGGCATTAAACAACAAACAAACAAAACAAACTTAAATGTGGAGAGTACATATTGTGAGATGATCCACGACTTGCTCGCTGCAAATGGCTGCAGGATTGCTGATGTGGCATTAAGCAATGTCTCCTCACTCACTGACCTGAAGGTTTGTGTTGATGTTGTCCCGTGTGACGCTGGGAGGAAGGAGAGTGTTACACGTCTCGATGCCATCTGGAGGCGGGATGTCATGCAGCATGGCAGCAATCATCTCATCCTTCACATCATCGATCTGAAACACATACATTAATATGGGGTTCACTCACATGGGAAGTCTTCATAGTTCATTTAATTATACAGTATTTTAAGCTGAGTAGCTTTGCAGGTAACCTGGGAAGAAAAATCATAATTTTGTTCAAAAGGTTCTTACTTTCTTAATTTCAGACTTATGTCATACATGTAATTGCTTAACATTGCATTCAATGACAAATGTAAAACTAAGTATTAAAGGCTCTGCCACTATATTGGTCTTGTTAGCAGTGAAATACAAATCGCTTTTACAAAGCCATAACATAAGTCATAACTATATTAGGAATTTGAACATTGTCTCAATATAGGACCAACATTTGCGATGAGTCGATATTGTTTAACACCCACTCAGCAATATTCCTTAGACTCAGGTATGCTCACAAGTTAATTATCATCGATTAGCCCTGTGAACTGACAGGGAAACAAAGAAGATGTGAAAGATTATTATTCCTGAACATTGTCTCAATATAGGACCAACATTTGCGATGAGTAGATATTGTTTACCACCCACACAGCAATATTCCTTAGACTCAGGTATGCTCACAAGTTAATCATCATTGATTAGTTCTGTGAGCTGAGAGGGAAACAAAGAAGATGTGAAAGATTATTATTCCACCTTAACATGCTTAAGTAAACTAGCGATGAGGAAGGCAGTTCTTTGGAACAACGTAACATGGCAACAAAAATAACAGTTTCAGAGAAGACAGTAAAGCAGAATACCTACATTGTCCAGGCTTAGAGATGTATGTGGGATTTTCAACACAGACCTTGGGCTGAATTTTGGCCTCCAAGAGCCAGGCATCTTCCCGTGGCAAGAGCGTCCACTAGCCTTTTTATCAAAGCCTTGTTTCCACCCTTGCCACATTAAGCTTATTTTTCTGTGATAAATATGATTGGACTATCACACATATCGATAGTCCAATCAGATAACAGTTTTACAAAAACAACATCCACGACTGGTACACCTTCGTATGCGATTTATCGCTTTGTGTCTTTGTTGACACGTCTTTTTCTTCGAAAAACGATTGCCTATGTTTTTGTGTCAGGGATGAAATCTCGAATGATTTTGTTATCTGATCGACTATGGTAGTCGCCATCTTTGAGAAGCTATATCAGATAAAAACAGTGATCTGATTGGATAACGCATTTTCATTCAAAGGGGCACAACTCGTGATCAACGCCAGGGTCGAGCCAAGAAAAGTGGCCTTAATGTGGCAAGGGTAGAAACTAGGCTTTGATGTAGACTAGTGGACACGCTTGCCTCGGGGAGATGAGAGCCAGGATACATCACTGCAAGTTCACTTACCTCCAGCACAAATGTTTCCTTGTTGCCTATTGACAGTTCCAGATCGGACTGGTCATCTTCACTCTCGTCGGTAGCCATGCTGCGTGGACTTGGCTGACCCTGGTTGTCCTGAAGCAAAACACACACAATAACTGACCATTACGGACCAGCTAGTCCCACAGTCCCACAGTCTCCATCATCCATGTGTGTTAATTAGGAGGAGCAGGGGAGGGGATCCGGGGTAGAAGAGGTCTTCAGCAACCCATGCTTGCTGTAAAAGGCAACTATGCTTGTCGTAAGAGGCGACTAACGGAAATGGGTGGTCATGCTCGCTGACTTAGTTCATACATGTCATCGTATCCCAATTGCATAGATCGATGCTCATGATGTCAATCACTGGACTGTCTGGTCCAGACTTGAATATTTACAGACTGCCGTCATATAGCTAGAATATTGCTGAGTGCGGCGTTAAACAACAAACAAACAAACAAACAACAACAACGTTAATTAGGATGCAAAGTTACTGTGTTTTCAATATTGAGCTTGGTTACTTAACCGATCTACATAGAATTTGGAACAAGAACATTTTACTTTGAATATTGTTGTAATGACATGTTGTAACCTGTTTCAGTCAGAAGTGGTTATTGTGATTTGAAACCCCGAGTTTTTCCAAATTCCTGGTAGAATGTTGTTGCTGCAGTCAGTAATACTCCTGCCATATCATGGCAGCCTGTACATACTTGTGTCCGGACCTGGCAGAGTGACTGAGAGCACAAGACTGAGTAACAACTCATGATAACAATCAGCCAAGACAACAGGTGAGGTGAAATTGGGTTAAATGTTGCGTCCAAGATTATTGCACTTATATAGCGACGTGCATGCACGTGTGTGTGTGTGGCTGCTTGTACTAGTCCGGACTGATGCCGATTTATAGTGCTAGCTCACTGAGATACCATGCCGCAGTTTAACATGAATACCCCACTCAGACACAGTATCCTGACTCCGAGCCGACCAGTCCTTGTTTTAGCCCCTTAATGCCGAGCGCCAGACAGGGTAACAACAAGTACCATCTTTTAACATCTTTTGGTATGACGCGGCCGGGGATCGAACCCCGGACCTTCCGCTCTCCGGGCGATGCTCTACCACTAGACCACGGAGGCGGTCCCAAGACAACAGAGCCTGATCACTCCTGCCCCATTATACAAACAGGCAGAACTTACTTGGAACCTACTATGACACTTCATCCTCACAGGGATGCCCCTTTGAAGACTGACAGATTACGTGTGCGTGAGATGGTTGTTTAAAACTGCACACAGCAATATTCCAGCCATATAATGGTGCCCTGTACATAATCTGGACCAGACAATCCAGTGATTGATATCATGAGCAATGATTTATGCCATTGACTTCCCAATCAATTGGTTCTAGAGGCATATGAAGACCAGCAGATATGTCTAGGGGTCAGTTCTAACCTGGAATCCCCATGCATTCCTAATTTGGTCATTTCTTCCAACTTCCAACAGGGTGATGGGGACATGTTCTACCCGAGTCCCCATGGGGAGACAGATGGTTACCACACTGACTTACCATGATGTCAAGGCAGAATCGTTCTCTGTTTCCCTGCATAGTGTCCATTATCTTCTTCTGAAGCTCCAAGAAAGTTGCATTCTCACCCTTCATTGATGTCTGAAACGAAATACATTGGTAATGAATCAATGGAGGACAAAATTCAACATGTTAACCCCTGTAAAAATCCTGAAACTGAAGGTAAAGCTCAAAATGTTTAACACCCAGCCTTGAAGATTTAAAGTAAACCGAACTGCTATCTACTCAGTCTAGCATGACATTACTACCTATCACAAAACAAAACACTAATACAATTAGTATGAGTCTAAACAAACCATGCAAGCTTAACACAAACTAGTTTTTGTAGTTGTTGCTTTAAGTGTTTAAGATTCTTCTGCCTTAGCAATTTTGGATGACCTGTCCCCCCTTGAGACTCATGTGTGTGAGTCGGGTACACATATTTATTGCGAGTTTGGTATTCACAGAATTTCTGTTTTTGTATTGATATGATTTCTATTTTCTTATATTGATATAATTTCATTTTTATCTTTGGCTGTTCTGTTTATATACATTCGAGTAGCTGTCCATCTCCCAGAAATAGAGTTAGTTCGCTATTGCGTCTCTTGGCTTTAGGAGATCTACGACAGATAGCGGATCTAACTGCAATTCTTGTTTAAACCGAGCCTGGGCTGGGGCGTGGTCTTGACATTTGAGTAAAACTTGAGAAACTGGTTTAAAGCAACAACATCTTAGTAGCAAGGCCACATGGACGATTTCATGCAAAAACAGTTCAAATCAAGTTATGCAAATTGTAAATGGGACGTGAGTTTTTCAACAAACTAAAAAAATTGAGGTAGGCAAATGACACCTCTGATTCTTTGCCTGTGCAAAATGTGAGTTTCTTGACAACTGTTATTTGATGTTGGACACCCTAGACTGGTCTTCCTACCTGTGAGTGTGTGGCCCCTCTTACCTGACTAGACACCTTAGGTATTGGAGGAGGGGGCAGAGGGCCTAGGTAGGTGGCAGTGGCACTCTGAAACAAAGCAGCCAATCAGATAGCAACATACAGTCATGTGACATTGGACTATCTGAAAGGAATATACAGTCACACGATAAAGGCAATGAGATAGCAATATACAGTCATGTGACATTGGACTATCTGAAAGGAATATACAGTCACACGATAAAGGCAATGAGATAGCAATATACAGTCATGGGACACTGGCCAATCAGATGGCAATATACAGCCATGTGAGTGAGTGAGTATGGTTTTACGCCGCTTTTAGCAATATTCCAGCAACATCATGGCGGGGGACACCAGAAATGAGCTTCACACATTGTACCCATGTCGGGAATGGAACCCGGTTCTTCAGCGTGACAAGTGAACGCTTTAACCACTAGGCTACCCGACCGCCCCTCAGCCATGTGACATTGGCATTGGCCAATAAGATAGAAATATACAGTCCTGTGACATTTGCCAATCAGATAGCAATATATACAGTCAGGACACATTTGCCAGTCAATATACAGTTAGGGCACATGGGCAAGTCAGTCAAGAACATACAGCAGTAGAAATTAACATTTTTAGTCCACTTGTCCTTTAAAGATTCCATATAGCAAACCCCTTCAAAATGGCAAATTTCTTCTTGTCCTTATGAAACCTTCACTATTGGGCAGTTTGGCAAGGACTACAGGTCTAGTGCCAATTTCTAATGCTGTAATATAGCAATATACAGTGTGACACAATTTGCATGCAATACACTTCTGATGTAACCTGAATGCTCATTGGTCAGAATACTTGCTGGGACAAGGCTGTAGCTTGATTGGTTGGTTCAAAATAGCTACTACACCACAGAGCGGTCATGTATTCATAGGTGATGGAGGAACATACTATATACAGACCAGTGACGTATTGACGATGGTGTCAGTCAAGAGGGCCACTTTAGTTGGATAACTTTTGCCCAATCCCATTGACCATTTATGTCAATAAAATATTTTTAAACATAAAAGAGCCGGTGAACAGTATGAGTTCTACTCACCCCAACAGCCACTATCATGGTGTCTCCAACACACACCTGTATCTTCAGACCAAACAGGCCGTTCATCCCCTTCATCTGAAGCAACAAGTCAGTGATTGAGGACAAGTTACTTCATGCCTTATTCCAACCATGGATAAAGCTTTTTGGAAAAAGGAGGGCTGCATTTTATGATTTGGCAATTTGTGTTCAGTAATTGTGAAATATTGTTGAAGATATATAATTGTTGTTATGTTTACTTTTCGTATTCCTCATCACCTGTAATTTCTGAATGTCTAAATGTTAAGTATGTTTCTCAAAGCAAAACACCCCATCCCTGCCCAACCCATCTACCCTCTGTAACCATGTGTGCATTCTACCAGGTAACATTCTATATTGAAAAGACAGCAGTTTATATCAAATCAAACCATGACTTTAGAAAATCCTTGATGCTAACTGGTAAATCAGAGGTTTCAAACCACAATAACCACCTCTGATACAAACTGCCAACATTACAGAGGCAGCTGATGTAGGCACTGGTAGGTCTTTTGTTTGTTTGTTGTTTGATGCTGCACTCAGCAATATTTCAACTGTATGATGGTGGTCTGGAAATAATCGAGTCTGGACCAGACAATCCAGTGATTGACATCATGAGCATCGATCAATACAATTGAGATACGATGACATGTATCAACCTAGTCAGCGAGCCTGACCACCCGACCCCGTTAGTCGCCTCTTACGACAAGCAGAGTCGCCTTTTACGGCAAGCATGGGCTGCTAAAGACATATTCTACCCCGGATCTTTACGGGTCTTGTTACCATCTGCTCCCCATTCATGACAAAACTCACCTTTAACTTATTCATTAACTGACTATGAAGTTCATATTCCATGAATGGTAGACACTGCAAGAAGAAGGGAACTCATGATGATATAAATATATTGCATGTGATTCCAGTCATTTGATTTGCTAACCAAGCCATTATTTTGCCCTTATGTTTCCATAAACTGAAAGAAATTAGGTCATGCCCTGTTTCCCAAGTGGCTGATACCAGAGTGATGGAATTGTGATGAAGAAGACCCAAGAAACTAATAAACTGTAACATCTCATGTGACCGGAAGGGTCACAAACTTTCTGCGACCTTTTATCATTTTGCCTCCTCTCACGTAACCGAAGTAGAACAATGAAAAGAAAACAACACTACAACACTAGGAGTGTAATGATACATCGAACTATCTTTTTGCAATTGTTTGCCCTACGATTGTACTATATCGATAGGAATTTAAAAACACTGATAATATTCTCAATAGTATGCATAACAATGAACAGTTTCAATTGTCGCAACGAGTTAAACTTAAAAATAAAACAAATTATTTGTCAGAAAACTAAGTTTTTACAGTCAAATTTCAAACCTGCGGTGTGTTCAATAGCAATCAGTACGATGACTACAGATTAGAGTTAATTCCCTTTTGTTTTAGTAGTGACAGGGAGGAAATGGCTGACAATGACATTGTAGGTAATATCATATTTATTTTTATTACACTGATTAATATAATTATGAAGCCTTAAAACTGGTTTTATACAATCGCAATAGTACAGCAATAGTTCAAATAGCCCTTACAGTTACCTCTATACAAAACTAATTTTACAACACAACAGGCTCCATACTCACATCGCTGACTTCTTTGGCACTTGTTTCACCCTTTGTTTTCGTTCTGACTCTGCATATTCTGAAAATATTGCGGATGACATTTTCAAAGATAAAGATTTCCATATTTTTCAAATTCAAAAGAATGATGTGAAGGTATTAGCCGTGCAATCAAATTACCCTGTTTCATTATTGAAATAAACAGTGAAATTACCTATGATGTGTTCTCAGCACCCCCTTGCTTGTCCTAACATGTGTGGGGATTCCAGATTAGTTTGTTTGTTTGTTCTCAACAATATTCCAGCTATATGACAGCGGTCTGTAAATAATCGAGTCTGGACCAGACAATCCAGTGATTGACATCATGAGCATCAATCTACGCAATTGGGATCGATGACATTTATCAACCAAGTCAGCGAGCCTGACCACCCGATCCTGTTAGTCTCCTTTTACGACAAGCATAGTCGCCTTTTACTGCAAGTATGGGTTGCTGAAGACCTATTCTACCCCGTATCTTAACAAGAGGATTCCAGATTAGAAATGGTTTTGAGCAATGATGATCATAATAAGGAACTGAATGGATTGGGTGGTCAGGATTAGTGGTTTTGAGCAATGATGATCATAATAAGGAACTAAATGGATTGGGTGGTCAGGACTGGTTGATGGCGTGTACCCCAGACAGAGAGTCATTGCTCATAATATCGCTCACTGGTTTGTCTGATCTAGACTCCATTACTTGCAGGCCGCCATTATATAACCAGAGTATTCGTATTGCTGAGAGTGGCGTTAAACAACAAACACACACCAGTGCTCTATTTGTCTCAAACACACCTGTGATGGTCTGGTTACAAAACATACTTCTCGAAAGCCCATCTCACCTTGCTTGGACCAAACTCCCCTTGCCCCATGTCAGGATCTCTGGTGGGGGGTCGATTGTTGTGAATAGAATGTCAGGAACCTTCTTCCGTCTGGAAACAGACAAAGTGAAGAACATCATGGGATCATAACTTAATGAGCCACCAAAATAAAGGCCTTTTTAATACCTTTTCAAGGCAATGATCTATGGTTCATTCAAAACACCCTCTTCCTTTTCTTGCTCCATTTACACATCTACGTACACCGTTAAATATTCCATCTCACACTCAGGTATTTCAGTATTCTCTATCCATCTGATGATCTACTGCATGAGCGTACCTGCACAGCACACATGGGGAGAGTGTGACGCTGAAGGGGAGGGTGGTGCTCTTGTAGGGGACGTGGCACACACCACAGTTGTGGGTAGACAGGGCGTCCTCTCCACTGAAACACACCGTTCATAGGTACACTTAATCAAATCTTGTTACTCCAAACTTGCACAAAGTGAGTGTGACCTTAATTTGACTATAGTCATTGAGCAGACTTCATATGGATCAATATTGTACTAAGTATCAGTTGTTTCCGAATTATTCTGAAACTTAAGCTTGTAATAACCTGCAGCCAGACTTGAATTTGAACAAACTTGAACAAAATTGAAAAGCAAACATGAAAGTCTGCTGAAATAAGATACAAGTTATGCCTATAAAGCCATGACATTAGTCTTTGTCATAATAACATGAACTGTTATTATAATTCCAATTTGGCACATTTACTGACATTGTAACTGCCTGGGGTCGAATATCAGCCTCTGCGGTGGTCTTGATAGATCCCTGTGAACTAAAATTGGTCTCTGAAGAGGTCCAGATAGATCCCTGTGAACTAAAATTGGTCTCTGAAGAGGTCCAGATAGATCCCTGTGAACTAAAATTGGTCTCTGAAAAGGTCCAGATAGATCCCTGTGAACTAAAATTGGTCTCTGAAAAGGTCCAGATAGATCCCTGTGAACTAAAATTGGTCTCTGAAGAGGTCCAGATAGATCCCTGTGAACTAAAATTGGTCTCTGAAAAGGTCCAGATAGATCCCTGTGAACTAAAATTGGTCTCTGAAGAGGTCCAGATAGATCCCTGTGAACTAAAATTGGTCTCTGAAAAGGTCCAGATAGATCCCTGTGAACTAAAATTGGTTTTTGAAGAGGTCCAGATAGATCCCTGTGAACTAGAATTGGTCTCTGAAGAGGTCCAGATAGATCCCTGTGAACTAAAATTGGTCTCTGAAAAGGTCCAGATAGATCCCTGTGAACTAAAATTGGTCTCTGAAGAGGTCCAGATAGATCCCTGTGAACTAAAATTGATCTCTGAAGAGGTCCTGATAGATTCCTCTGAACTAATATTGGCCTCTGAGGAGGTGCTGATATATCCCTGTGAACTAATATCAGCCTCTGAGTAGGTATAGATAGATCCCTGTGAACTAATACCGGCCTCCCAAGGAGGTCCAGATAGAGACCTGTGACTCACCCATCAACACAGGGGGACAGCCTGTTCTGAGCAAGCTGATTGGCTAGGTTGATGTCCACAAACAGCTTCTTGTCCTTGTCTCCCTGACAACGCTCCAGGGAGGACGTGAGGGGTGTGTTGGAGCGGGCGATGGAGACCTGGGGCTCTGCACTCAAGTTGACTCGTGCGGCTGTCCCACTGGCTGACAAGATGATGATCTCATCGCTGAAGTAGAAACAGAATCATGACAGACAGCGAGCGGCTACTACCATTATATATCCTGACAGTAAGAGATACTACATGTACAATACACATAATTCATCATTAGATTTTCATCCCAGCCCTCCTCACTATCAAACATCCAGCCACACATCATTTCATTGTCCACACACACACTAAGTGTGTTTCCTTCTTCCTTTACTTTACAGATACCATATACGTAGCCCGACCAAACATTAGTACTTCGTATCCGTTGATAGTCAAAGTACACAGATGCCTTGGGATGTTTAAAAAAAAAACAACGCCTCACATTTTTAAGATTTTTTTAACATCTGGATCAAGATTCCTTCTCTCTGAAATTCTTACACAGAAGGGTGGGTGACTCCACATCACAACACAAGCTCATGATTTCAGGAAATCAAGTTACTATAATGAGGTCAGGAAACCATGTAACCATATTGAGGTCAGGAGGTCATGTTACCATATTCAGATCAGGAAATCATGTTACCATAATGAGGTCAGTAAAACCATGTAACCATACTGAGGTCAGGAGGTTATGTTACCATATTGAGGTCAGGAGGTCATGTTACCATACTGAGTTCAGGAGGTCATGTTACCATATTGAGGTCATGTTACCATATCGAGGTCAGGAGAAGTCACCATATAGAGACCTTGGGATCATTTCACCATATTGAGGTATGGAGATCATGGTAACATATTGATGTCAGGAAAGCAAGGAAACATACTGAGGTCAGGAAACCATGTAACCATATTGAGGTCAGGAGGTCATGTTGCCGTATTGAGGTCAGGAAATCATGTTATCATATTGAGGTCAGGAAATCATGTAGAGACCGTAAAAACATGATAATATGGAGAGACTTTGAGATCAAGTTACTTCATTGAGACCCTGAGATCATGGTTCCATATAGAAACCCTGAGAGCAAGGTATCACATAGGGCCCCTGAGATCAAGTTACCATATAGGGCCCCTGAGATCAATTTACCATATAGGGCCCCTGAGATCAAGTTACCATATAGGGCCCCTGAGATCAAGTTACCATGTAGGGCCCCTGAGATCAAGTTACCATATAGGGCCCCTGAGATCAAGTTACATATATGGCCCCTGAGATCAAGTTACCATATAGGGCCCCTGAGATCAAGTTACCATATAGGGCCCCTGAGATCAAGTTACCATATAGGGCCCCTGAGATCAAGTTACCATATAGGGCTCCTGAGATCAAGTTACCATGTAGGGCCCCTGAGATCAAGTTACCATGTAGGGACCCTGAGATCATGTTACCATCTTGAGGTCAGGAAATCAAAGTAACGTATTGATGTTAGAAGATTATCTTACCATATCGAGGTCTGCTCCACGTATCCGATGACGGCATGGCAGCCCATGGCACGTGCATGTGAACGTATCTCTGTTCTGATTTCCGTCCACCAAGTGTCCCTGGTCTCTGGTTCCTCTGAAATAAGACACAAAACCTGTCAACATGCAACAGAATCAGTTACATAGTGCAGCAGTAGGTCGCACAGGTTGGGACACCCTTGGAAAGGTTGCAATCTTTCGGTGCACATTGGATATTTTCAGGCTATTTATAGTCAGGGTGGGGCTTTAACAATAGGATCTCTGTGTTGAGGGCTTGCACTTATCACAGGATCAAGGTTCCAGTATTTCCTTGAATAAACAATAGGTTCTCTGTGTTGAGGGCTTGCACTTATCACAGGATCAAGGTTCCAGTACTTCCTTAAACAAACGCTGGTGTATGGGGTATCCAGGAACAATAAACGCCAGGACTTGATTTAACGTCAGGCCTCAATAAAACGCCTATTAGTATTAACGCCTTCTGTATACAATACATCGTCCTTGCTAAAGAGAAGCATTTTAGAGAACGTTTAAACTATGGATTGGTACCGAAGATGGGCCTGAGCTATTCATTAGTCGGAACTTGAAATCATAAATGCCGGACCTCAAATAGACTGGGGCTCAATTAACTGACGGGGTAAAGAATGTCTGAAAGAAATATATGCCCGGGCATACAGATATGTACCTCTCATCCCAGTCATCCTGTGGAGGGGTCGGTCGGGTAGCCTAGTGATTAAAGCATTCGCTCGTCACGCCGAAGACCCGGGTTCGATTCCCGACATGGGTACAATGTGTGAAGCCCATTTCTGGTGTCCCCCGCCATGATATTGCTGGAATATTGCTAAAGGCGGTGTAAAATCAAACTCACTCACTCATCCTGTGGAGGTAAAAACATTATCTATGTTGTCTAAGAATGCCCAAATGTAACATAACATACCATGGAGATAGTGACAGGTTATTCTATGGAGGCTACTGACCAGGGTTGTGTATCTTGTCCAGCAGTTTGACCGATCTAGCCGACACAACACCGCCAAGATGGACGATGAACCCCACAGGAAGGGATCTCATTGTGAAGAAAGGGAACTCCTGTCAAACAATGTGTCATGATCAGTTCTTCAGGCAAACAGGGGTCATTTCAAAATGGAGATAAAAGATTAAAGTTGGTGAGGTGAAATTTGGTTTAACGTCGCATCCAAGATTATTGCACTTAAATAGCGACGTGCATGCACGTGTGTGTGTGTGGCTGCTTGTACTAGTCCGGACTGATGCCGATTTATACCATGCCGCAGTTTAACATGAATACCCCACTCAGACACAGTATACTGACTCCGAGCCGACCAGTCCTTGTTTTAGCCCCTTAATGCCGAGCGCCAGACAGGGTAACAACAAGTTCCATCTTTTAACGTCTTTTGGTATGATGCGGCCGGGGATCTAACCCCGGACCTTCCGCTCTGCGGGCGGATGATCTACCTCTAGACCACGGAGGCGGTCAAAGATTAAAGTAATTTGGCCAGTTCATATTTAAATGCATCCTTCTTTAGGGTTTCAAAACACTTGTATCTTTTCTCAAGAGGGCTGCCAGACTGGGATTAAACAGACCAAGTTTTGCACCCCCATCTTCTATGTTACCTCATGAAGACTATTACTAGGCAGAAATAATATTATCTTTCGTAAATCTTTTGAAATGTGCTTTTGACTTGTTTTCTGTTTGTTTACTGACACACCCAGCAATATTCCAGCTATGTGACAGAGGCCTGTAAATACTCGAGTCTACACCAGACAATCTAGGGATTGATATTATGAGCATTAATCCATGCTGTAAGGGTATGATGAGACACAGTAAGCCAAGTGACAGAGCCTGACCGACCTCATCCATTTAGTCACATCTTATGATAAGCATTGGGGGTATTTCTAACACAGGATCCCCACACATTTTAAAACATATATGATCATATTGATAATACCTAGAACTTCAGTTCAGAAAACAAGACAAGGCTGATAAATCTTTTATTTATGCCAAACTTTGGAATATAAGCTGCAAAATTCAGTGTTTCTAGAAAAAAAGTGTCTGCATTTACAAAGCTGCATAAACAATATATATATAATTCTGGATTCTTTGTTCTCTCAGAAATACATTGGCATTTTAAGGGTCACAAAACCGTTATATATAATCCCAGGTTAAAGTCTTTGACAGGCATTTAGAAGTTGGGAGAACATGAATACATGACGCTTCTTTATGGATAGCAACTTCTGTTATTCTTTGTACGACTTTTCAGAGCTACTTCTTGCTTTTTCATCAGGTGATGAAGGCTCTGAAATGTCGTACAATGAATAAAACAAGTTGCCATCCATAAAATGTTTTTGTTTGTTTGTTGTTTAACAGCGCAAATAGCAATATTCCAGCTATATGACGGCAGTCTGTAAAATACTCGAGTCTGGACCAGGCAATCCAGTGATTGATATCATGAGCATCGATCCACGCATTTGGGATACGATGACATGCAACAACCAAGTCAGCGAGCCTGACCATGTGATCCTGTTAGTAATAAAAGAAGTTGCTATCCATATAAAAGTGTCATGTATTCATAATCCCAGGTTGATAATGGAAATGATATATCAGTGTCTTTCAGTGCCATATGTGACTAACTCAGCCACATCTGTTTCTATGACAACCACACTCGATGATCTTGCGTATAATGTATTCATTCTATCAGATGAACACCCTGGACCCATACGCCTCCATTGCTTTGTTCAGAAGCATCATCTTCATCTCTGTTATCACCAACACAACTGACCTCATTCATGAGGGTAATTTGATTGGACAGCCACTTATATTGTTGGACCGCCTTTGTGGTCAAGTGGTAGAGTGTCCGCCTGGAGAGCGGAAGGTCCAGGGTTCAATCCTTGGCCGTGTCATACCAAAAGACGTTAAAAGATGGTACTTGTTGTTACTCTGGCATTTAGGGGTTAAAACAAGGACTGGTCGGCTTGGAGTCAGAATACTGTGTCCGGCATCAGTCCGGACTAGCACAAGCAGCCACACACACGTGCATAAGTGCAATAATCTTGGAGACAACGTTAAACCCCATTTCACCTCAACTGTAGTGTTAGGTCATTCAAATCAGCTCACACTGAAGCTGTGGAAGAGAATGCCCGAGGGTATTTATCAGAACAGGATGGAGTTATAAAACACTGAGTGTGATGGCTGGCCATTCCCTGCCATCCCCAAGGTCCATGTGCACAAAGCCATCATAATGCTGAGACTTCTTTAAGACTGTGTTAAATTATGGAAGTAACCATGTTAACGCTAAGATTACTTTGTGCAGGTGGGCCTGGAGGGTGCTCTCTTGTAAGAGCTGAGGACAGTGCATATCTTCCTGAGGCAAAGGAGTTAGCTGACTATAAAAGTCCAGTTTCCATCCTTGCTGAACTTGACTGCAATGATGGGAGTTATATTTTGGCTGGACTAACTATGTGAACGGGCCAGACACTTACAATAAAGGGAGTCAATTTGAGGGGATGTCACTCTTGTATGACAATAGTTCCGTCAAAGTGTTATGTTCACTGCAATGAAAATATCACATTTCTCAACATCAGAAAATTCAGTCTTTCACCACTTAAGTATATAATAAATGTATATAAGGCAATGTTAAGAGTATCAAGAGGCCACAAGCACTACTGAATGTAATTATTTCAGTATTTGGGCTGCTCCTCGGTCTAGGACAAGGCTTTCACCCGCCTCACCAGCATGTCGATGTTCTGTTGTTGAACACATGTCCGGGAGTGAGTGAGGCGTGTTCCGCTGCCAGCTCCGCTACCGCTGCCACTACTTCCTGTCAGACTGTTGCCTAGGTAACAGAACATCACCATCACCATGAATAATCGTCCATGAAAATTTATTCTTACCCAAGAGCAACATCATTACAGTAGGTTATCAATGAAGTTGATGTGATCAAACAACAATCTAAAATGGTACATAGCATATCAACAACATCTCAAATCTTATGCAACAAAATAATTTACATTTTCTTTATGATGTTTCCCTGACGACTTCCAAAAGGGAAGAAAACAATGATTTCATGACTTAAGGTTGGTAACTATGGTGATGACATTCTCAAACATGATCTCAAATGTTGTGCAGGTAAGATGGTAGAAATCATGTGAAGATGATCGAAACGTCCAGATTGGATGGGAGGAAGGAGGGAGGAAGGAGGGAGGGGGGAAGGAGGGAGGGCGGTTCAAGATCATTCAGGTCATTTTTTTATCTCCATACAGTTCCAGTAATATCACTGATGTAAGTTTTCTGAATATGAAGTACATATTATACTTTAAGCTGTTGCATCCCATATATCTATTATATAAAAATGTGAGGTAACCATGGTAACCAAAACAATCCTTTTGCCAATAAATTTTTTATCAACATATATTTACATGTCCTGTTACACTGTTGATTACATCATTTGGCAGATAAAATCTGTGTAAGCATATGATTTATCTTGGATTTCAAACTAAGTGACCTTGGCAGGCAAACTGAGAAAAGACCTTACAAAGCCATAACATTAGTGATAAATATAATAGCATCACTTGGGAATTTTTTAATTCCAATTTGGGAATTTTTACTGACATTTTCTGCAGACATGGAATGAATATCGGCCTCTTAGCTCGTCTTGATTAATCCCTGGAACATATATTCAACCACTGCGATCAACAGAATATGTTCTGAAACGATTTGGAGATAAATGTCTTTTACAAGTTGAACTAATTAGTATATGGGATGGTGAAGGTCAAAGAGTTTCCTGCATTAAGGATGAAATATGTGGATTAAATCTTCAACAAAGAAGACTGAACAAATCCTTACTTCAAACTAGTGTGTGAGTTTGGTTTCACAAGGCTTCATTACTCCATTAACACATTACTTCACAGCATGTCTGCTTGATGATTTAGGACAGCCTGCAGTGATAGAGATCTGAGATGTTTACCACTTTGGTGAAACCAGCGAGCACAAGCATGGTGCTGACAAACCTAGAAACAACCACAGTGAATCTAGGATTCAAGTCCATGAGCATAGGTTTCTGGCATGCCTAAGGGACGCAACTCAGCACGGCGAATTGTGGTGCCTTAGATGAATGGGACACCCTACATTCAAACTCGCTGGGCAACAGGTTAAATTATTCCTCTTATTGAAAGCACTGACATATGTATAATGTCCAACAGTCACACTCTGATGTAAATACCTGATACAATAGGATGTCATGTCAAATGCTGGAAAGGAAGTTTACCATGTTTACCATGTTTACCATGTTTACCATGTTTACTGGTATAAACAGTAAGAACAATAAGCCAACAACAAAAAAACAGAATAATTTCTGAAATCCCTAGAGGATGCTTTTAACATAGGTGATCCTTGTTACGCTAGAGAACAGTGTTAATTTCCATACCTTGACATTAATTATGGAAGCCTTTTAGGGCCATTTTTTGTTTGTTTTGTTTTTGATACTATCTTGAAATTTCAAGATACTAAGTTGAAATTTCAAGATACTAAGTTGAAATTTCAAGATACTAAGTTGAAATTTCAAGATATAGAAGTTGAAATTTCAAGATAGTATCTTGCAATTTCAACTTAGTATCTTGAAACTTTCAAGATAGTATCGAAAAAAATAAAAAAGCAAAAGGCCCTAAAAAGCTTCCATAATTAATAAACTCAAAAGATGTTTATTTGTCAATCCTACCACCTCGAGCAGTTATGTACCAAGCCAAAACAGTGTTACAGTAAGTGGATACATGGATATCAGTGACAGTGTCAGAGTTTTATGGTGATGATAGGAAAATTGATTAATTCATAAACTAGGGAATATAATAATATAATAATAACTTAAAGATTAGTGCATAAATAATTCACTCAAGGTAACATTTTGTTGATGTAACAGTGAGCATGTTAAGGAGGTATTTTGGTTTGTAGTTTAAGGTATTTATAAAATCTAAATGATTTTATCTAACTAGCCAAATAAAAAAAGAAGGGGTTATTCTTTGTACGACTTTTCAGAGCTACTTCTTGCTTTTTCATCAGGTGATGAAGGCTCGGAAATGTTGTACAAAGAATAAAACAAGTTGCTATCCATAAAATGTTTTTGTTTGTTTGCTGTGTAACGACGCACTCAGCAATATTCCAGCTATATGACGGCAGTCTGTAAAAAATCTAGTCTGGACCAGACGATCCAGTGATTGACATCATGAGCATCGATCCACGCAATTGGGATACAATGCTATGCATCAACCAAGTCAGCAGGTCAGGCCACCCGATCCCGTTAGTTGCCTCTCACGGCAAGCATAGTCGCCTTTACAGCAAGCATGTGTTGCTGAAGATCTATTCTTTACCCGGATCTTCACGGGTCAGGGTTGCAGTTAATTCTCTTGAATTAGCAACACTTATCAACTACTACACCAAAATCACACCTTACTTTTGATACATACAGGGAAACCAATCACCATGGTAACAGTTTTACACAAGATAATTATTTGTAAAATGAATAAAAGTGTGTGTCACAATCTGATTGGATAAAAAACATAAAGGAGATTGGATCCTGGAAATCTTTCAGACTTTTCACTGTGAATGACTACTTTTCTTGATCCTTATCTCTTTTTTTTGTCAACCCCTCATTTGAAAAGAAAGTACTATTTTGGTTGAAGGATGGATACCACCCTGATACAATATAAAGTCTGATCAATATTTGTCAGAACAATTAGATTTAGTTGCTTTTGTTCACATTCTGCTAAACTGACAGTAACAGTTATCACAGAAGCATATGATGTCATCTGTGGTACCATGACATCATGACATTCCAACATGACATCATATCATTTAAGAATGTGAGACTTCACGTAGGGAGAGAGTGTTACAGAAAATTACTGATAACTTTTGTATTTCACAATGTTGATAAACAGAATTTTTCCTGAGCATACTTCAGAGGTTTGTATGTATGATTCGTTATTTATAAACAACGAATCAAACCACATTCATGGTTCCATTGAGAGCGAAACCAGTGAGAGCACTGACCAATGAGTGACTCAGATTACATCACACTAAAGGCAATATACGTGTGCCACAGCCTTGCATCTCCCTACACTACACATTGCCTCAATATCAGGCAACATTACAGTTTCAAGGATTTATCTAGGACTCCAAACTAATGCCCTTGTAAAAAAATTGGGGTAAAAAACATAATTTTGTTCAAAATGAGAATTTTCTTACAATTCCTTAAATTCAGGGGTGTTATAATATTTCATTCAAAACAAAAATGTAAAATTGCTTGACTTAAATCTATATGCATCACTTCTATGCCACGTATTGACAGTATGTATTTATTGGTAATGAAGGAACATTGTGTATACAAACTTGTACAATACTGATGATGAGAGTGATGTATCAACTAACTCTACACCCTCACAGAACAATGTACATGTAACATAAAAGAAAAAGTAAGTTTTATTTCCAAGCACTCAAAACTGCAATGAAGAAAGGTTTACTTTTGCACATTTAAAGCATACTGACTGTTACACACAGCATCTTGTTTGGTTCTAATGGGTCCCTAAATGACACTGCAGCAAGGGAGGTAAGCCAATGCCGTAAAAACTCCAATCCACAATAAATTCAGCTACTGAAAACATTGAAATTGGGTTGTCTGCAACAACACACACTACACACCCAGCTGAAAGGAATGGGTTATCATAAATAACACAGAAATACAGCAGTAATACAGAATACCATAGATAGTCTAATAAAACCCAGAATACCGTAGACAGTCTCATGAAAACACCTAAATATACAAGCTCTGTATTTTGGTACTTAGAATTCAAGCTGCTGCTAAGTACGAGGGGCGTTCAATAAGTTTTACAACTTCAGTATAAGACCAAGTCGCAGAATATCTTTTGCACTTTTATTTTTCAATATAATCTCCATTCATCTCAATACACTTATTCCATTTGTCCTTCAAGCTTATACTACCACTTTTATAGAAATCCAGTGGCAGCATTTATGTCCTCTTCATCCTGGAAGCATCTCCCACATAGGTCAGATTTCATTTGCTGGAACAGGAAATAGCCACTGGGGGCTAAGTCTGGGTTCGAACAGTTAAATCACCCACCCTACAGCCAAGACTTAGCTCCCAGGGACTATTTCCTGTTCCGGCAAATAAAATCTGCCCTACGTGGAAGACGCTTCCAGGATGACAAGGACATAAAGGCTGCCACAGAGGTGTGGTTAGAGGGCCAATCTGCGATTTCTATGAAAGTGGTATTAAAAGCTTGAAGGACAAATGGAATAAGTGTATTGAGGTGAATGGAGATTATATTGAAAAATAAAAGCGCAAAAGATATTCTGCGACTTGGTCTTATAGTTAAGTTGCAAAACTTATTGAACGTCCCCGAAAGTGAACACCAGGTGTTCTGCCAGGGGTAACATGAGGATTTTCTTTGTTTTATGATGATGTGATATCTAAATGAGCTTTACATAAACATATTCTTGTTTTGAACATAATTCTAAACAAATATTGTTTGTATCGATTGACCCGAACCTTCACAAACCATGTCAGTGGCTGAAATATTTTGAGCCAAACTATGATGGACAGTGTTGACAGGGTTAGTTGCCAATCATCCAAACACTTTTGCAAACTTATGAAAGATGTGTTGTTCACCCATGTTCAAATCTGTTGTTGTAATGGCTGCAATGCATGACTGTGTCTTTGAACTAATTAAGTATCTTCCCTATTCACCAGATTTAGCACTTTAAGATTTGCATTCTCTTCCCAAACTTGCAAGCCTTATGCAAATGATGATGACAGGTTTCTGGCGTGCCCAAGGGACGCAACTCTGCACAGCGGCGCCTTAGACGACTGGGCCCCCCGTGCCCCCTGTAAATATATCTAATTACACCTGCTACTCTGTCTTATCTGTTTAACTGCGTCTATCTGTCTAACAGCTGTGTGTATATGACATCTACTTAACTGTCACAGTGGCATGTCTCTGCTCTGCCTAACTGTGACAGTGGTATCTCTCTGCCTAACTGTGACAGTGACATATCTGCCTAACTGTGTGTATATGACATCTACCTAACTGTCAGAGTGGTGTGTCTCTACCTAACTGTGACAGTGACATATCTGCCTAACTGTGTGTATATGACATCTACCTAACTGTCAGAGTGGTGTGTCTCTACCTAACTGTGACAGTGACATATCTGCCTAACTGTGTCTATATGTCTAGCTAACTGTGACAGCATTATCTCTGTCTAACTAGCAGAGGATAATATTCCACACAATGAATTGAGCACAACTTCTAGATTGGAAATATGAGGGAGGAGTATAGTCCATCTTTAATGCTGCTTTGAACAGTATCCAAATTGATGCAGGTCAAAGACTTTTATCCCTTTTGTGTAACCCATGTCTGTGTGTCTATTTGTTGTTTAATGACGCACTCAGCAATATTCCAGCTGTATGATGGCTGTCTGTAAATAATCGAAACTGAACCAGACAATCCAGTCATTAATATCATGAGCATCGATCCAGGCAATTGGGATCAACCAAGTCAGCGAGTCTGACCACCCGATCCTGTTAGTCGCCTCTTACAACAAGCAAAGTTGCCTCTTACGGCAAGCATGGGTTGCTGAAGACGTATTCTTCTCCGGATATTTACGGGTAGTGTAACCCATGATCAAGGTGCTGTCAAACCAAGGGTCATAATCAGGCCAAATCTGGGATTCAAACTCAAGATCAACTGACCCCAACATGGATAGAGATTGCATCTGACTCATTTCAGCAAATTGCAGCATCTTAGATCACTGGATCAACACAAGTTTTCAATGACTGAATTGTGAAACTTCAAACAACAGTGTGCAGGGGGCTAACAAGTTAGTTCAGACACACTTGACAGAGTGTGAGGGTTCACATGAAACGTTGGCTTATTACCATGTGCACCCCCTGGTAGTGGCCAGTGACCTGGTGACCTGGAGACCTGGGCTCACTTGCACAAAGCGATCTTAGCACTACAACTATTGTAAGCCTATGTTAAAGTATGGGAGTTACGATCATCTTAGCGCTAAGATCGCTTTGTGCAAGTGGGCCCTGGTGCTATATTCAGATTTTTACAGTGCCTTAAAGTTCTTCTTAAGTAAGGAACCCCTCCTGTGCTGCTTTTTACTGTTAAAATATGCAATATACACAATAAAATATTTGACTGTCATGTACCGTACATGTTTGGTCTCAGTAGCGACTGATTCTAAGGAATACTTACAGGTTGGTCTAAAAGATGGTCAGGGCTTCCTCAAACAGATGGAATATTTTGTTGAACTGTTAAGGGCTTTTCTCTTTTCTCTCAAAATGCTCAAGAACCTTACAATTTAATGTCTAGCTTAAAATCTCTCCCTGAAATCCAAATAGCTCAATGTTTTTCTCCAACCTCAAAGTTGCATAAGACCTCGCATTTAACTTATATATCATCCTTTTGGGACAGACTATCAGAATGGTATAGAGGCACATGCTCTGGGATACCAATACAAGATAGTATTAAGTTTGGTTACATGAATATGTTATATCATATACACAATACCATTAGGAATTCAAGGTAAGAATATGCCAGTAATATGCTTGAAATTGCTTGATATACATCAGATAAGAAAGTAAGGATAGGTTTAGGTTGGATCTTTGAACATTATCTAATAACATTAATTCATAAAATGTCGTTCAATAATCAACTCCTCGATGCACTAAATGTATTTCCTATTTCTGTTTTTTAATACATAACAATCCTTTCCAGTTCCTCATGTGTTACAAGTGAATAGTTGCTGTATTCGATGTACTTAGCACCATGCAAGGAACTCTCAAAACTGAGATGCTTGGGATATATACAGATGGGAAATAAAGGACAGGCAGACGCCTTGTCACAATGTGTTATTACTCACATCATCAAATACCTTATTCAACGTAATAAGCACCCAGGAATCTCTCATAATTACGAATAAGGGGGCTCTTATTAAAATATTATTTTGGTGAAAAAAACAGAGTTGAAAGATAAATTTCATGGTTTTTGCTGACAGCCTGAAATGTTTATATACGACCGATGTATTTTTCCAGAATTTAATTGCCCATAATTAAGGGTTCATTAATAAGTCTTGTGTACATTGATCAATTGGAAGGGGTGCTAATTGGGATTTGTTCACTAGCCAATATATTAGCAAATATCGCCGTGGGCGCTTATTAGAGCGGGGCGCTTATTACGTCGAATACGGTAGTTAAAACATCTAAAAAAGCAGGCCACTGTTTTCAATGGGATTTTTCTAAAAGTTACCCATCACTAAGCATGGATTCTGTGACAGTGCCAGAACCCTCTTTTAAATACTCAGGCTCATAGGATAGGGACACCAGAATGAGGGTATTCATGTCAAAGGGAGGCAATCCATGCCAAAGGGAGGTAATCTGGAAAGAGCTGCTAGCTACATGGAATACAGCAGACAGAGCTCCATGTGAACAGATTGTTTCAAGACGAGACACACACTGTCTAAGCAAACCTCAGTCCATGCTATACACCACATAATACTTACTCCTCTTCAAGAACCGACGCTCTTTCGACGTTCGAAACTCAACCTCTACAGACGGAACATCAAATTAACTACACTCAACACCATGTTGGAGGGGAATATATATGTGAACAATATGTAGTGGGTAACAATATCACATTGGAGAATATTGTGTTTAACAACAACATACCACTGAACAACAGGTCGCCCTGAGAAAACCAATCACACATTTGTTATACCTGTTTTAAGAATCTTTGAATTTCATTGGTCAATCCATTTCATGTGACGAAACAAAAAAAATACAATGCTGACCCAACAGTAGAAACCTTACCTCTAATTGTTCGTCAAATCACATGACTGACACTGACCTTGATCACTGATCACATGGTCTCTATTAACCAGTCACATGATCAATATTGACTTTCATCTGTTAGAAAACAACATGGTACCTGCAAGTGGCAACACACAGTTTGCCGATATTTGCGAAATAATTAAATATGAGACCGAATTTGATGTATTAAGCGCCCAGGGCGCTCGCAAAATTAGAAACAGGGGGCTCTTATTAAAATATTACTTTGGTGAAAAAAGTTGAAAGATAAATTTCATGGTTTATGCTGACAGCCTGAAATGTTATGTATGACAGATATATTTTTCCAGAATTTAATTGCCCATAATTAAGGGTGCATATACCACATGAGTGTGTATTATACGCGAATAAATAAGTGTTGTGTACATTGATCAATCAGAAGGGGTGCTAATTGGGATTGTTCACCAGCCAATATATTAGCAAATGTCACCGTGGGCGCTTATTAGAGCGGGGCGCTTATTACATCGAATACGGTATACAAATAATTAATCCTTAGGTGGTCATTACGTGAAAACAAGCACCGGAGAACATTAACCCTGAAGCGGTCAGCCCGAACTGTGGCCACAGGCTGAGGCCCGGTCAGACCACCAAAGGGGTTGGGTCTTCCCAAAGATGAATCATTTTTATATTTTATTTTTTTAAGTATTATGAGCATTTGTTCATTGTAGGTAAGCTGGACATCACACATAGGGAAAATATTATCGGCCTGCTTCAGTGCCCCAAGTCTCATGTTAAAGGTATCCTGTTTCCGTTGCTTACCACTGTGCCTAAACAGATTCTAAATGTTATTATTTTGAGTGTAAGAATCAAGGAAGAACCCAGAAATTTTGAGTGAGTTATTAAATGCCCCAGTCAAATATAGTGCAGCTGTGCCACATTGGCAGATAAATACTGTAAATCTTGAAATTAATGCGAGCGTGAATTAAATGCGAAAAAGGCAAGTGGTCTAGGTCCGCATTAATGAAACTTCGCCTTTATGTCTCCAAGATGACTATCAACAATAAGACAGCTTCACTGCACATTTTGGATAGCGGAACTACCAACGTGAATATAAACACAAACACGGTTTATTGGGCAGCAGTTGTAACAAGTACATACCAAAGCCATTGAGAGAATAGGAATTACTCAATAGGCATCCGGTGAGTTATTACTGCTGGGGTCAAGAGTTCTACCCACTCGTGTCAAACTAGGCATCATTGACCAACCACTCCAATTGGTGAACTGTTATAGGTTCAATTATCTTATTGCCTTTGAAATTCCTTAATGCCAGTCAGCAGAATAAACATATAAACTGTGTGTTGTTTTTAGGAAAACACTGTTTATTGTTATTACAGAAGTGCTTTACTCAGTGCTAATAAGCGATGCTAGTTGCTGTTTGATTGGATTAAGGTAAGGATATGTATCATTCCACTGGGGATGGGGTGGGGGGAGTCACATAGGATTGTGAGTTGATTTTTGGCTATTGGTCAGCAGTCGTATTACTTTGGAGACGCATTAATCTCAAGATTTACAGTATGTAAGTCTGGGACAGGCAAACCAGTGACTGAACACAAGAGAAACAAACCATTCCAGCATGTTAACATGACACACAAATAGCCCCGACAAGTTCCCCCAGATGTGCGAGGAGCATACACTTGAACCACAAGGCCACCCTATCACAGAATTTCACTAAAAGGATTTTCTTAAACAAATATTATTCTTCTGTACATAGACCTGAATATGATGAAATTAACACAATGAATTGTCATGAATTCTGCACACAAAAACTGTGTTATTAATCAATTGAAAATTTTCATGACCCTAATGGTCTTGGGGTCTAAACATGCATACTGAAATTGGTTTTCTCAGTTTGTCCTTACAAAACCACATCAGATCAGAAAAACCTCTGAGTCTTCAACAAAAACATTCAATATTAGGTCTGTAACGGCAAGTATAGAGCATCATAATTTCTTCAATAAATAGGGAAAGCATCTCAACTCATTTCATACGATACATTTGTATAAAATCAATATCAATGACACAAAACAAATCTCACAGCATAAGTACTGAAAAAAAGAGTTAGGTATCATGAATATTGTTGGGGATATTTTTAGTGAATCTTGAGCACAGAATTTCATAAAATATCCCAAAAAATATTAGTGGTCCCTTACTTCTATATTCACTCCAGAGAAAAAGAACAACTACAGAACAAGTAAAGGAAGCTCTTCAGTCACTTTGAAGAGTACCTGTACTTCAGTTTATCCCAACAAGTCAGTCAGCTTCATGTGGGAGGATAATGATGTAGGTCCAAGATGGGGATGCCCACTTCTGTTGACACCATTGTCTGGAGTTTCAGACAGGTTCATTTTCTAACACACTCCCTGAATGTCACCCAAAATGTTGGAAGTATGTTTTTTTTCAAATTTGGTTACGATTTAGAAAATTGTCCAATAAAACATAGATAAAAATAAATAAATATCCTCATGCCATTTGTCCGTAGTAAAATCACTGGCGGTAAATACAGATAAAGTAAACTACGGTTATAACGAACTCAAAGGGACCACTAATTTTAGCTCGTTGTAGCCGTGGTTTGTTATATGCATATATACAGCATAACTACAGCAAATAGTCGGGACAAAAAAGTAAGTTATATCCGTCAGTTTGTTATAAGCGTGTTCGTTATAACCGTAGTTTACTGTATATGAACACAGGAATCAGTCTGTGTACAGGTACAGCATGCTGGAAGGTAGACAGCCATTTCACACGGTTAAGAACTAGGCATGGAAATATCCTACTAAAATATAGTGATAGACCACTCACTCTTTTTTATTTTACTATAGTTAATCTGTCATGCCATGACAGACTAACTATAGTAGACACAGGGACAGATCCAGGATTTTAAGAAGGGGTTCCACTTGGCAACTTCTAACTTGAGTGGGGGTTGGGCGGTTGGGGGGCGCGAAAACCCTACTTAAAAATTTGCAATCACTAAATGTAAACCATTATTAATAATTTTACTTTAATAATCAAATCAACATGTTATCATGGAAGAAATTGTGCACACAAAATGTCATCAGATGCAAAAAAAAAGTGGGGGTTGGCACCCGCGAATCTGCCACTGGAATGAAAGAATTGAGTGGTCCTTAACGTTTTTAGAGTAGTATAAAAAAAAAGTCAGGTGGTTCCTGTTAGAACCCTAGTGTTCTAAAGATTTTGGGGGTCACTAGATAATGAAACTCTGGCTGCAAACCTCAAGGGTCCAAAGAGACACCCATTTATTTCTAACTGCTGAAGAATGGGATTCACAAGATTTAAAGTGTTGTTATTTACACTTGTGTAAGAAATCCTGGGCCCACATGCACAAAGTGACTGAAAGCTATGACTGGTGTAAATCTAAGTCGAATAGTTCAAATAGTCATAGTGCTAAGAATGCTTTGTGCAAGCAGATCCTGTTCTAAGTAAATAAGTAAACAAGTAAATAAGTAAATTTGTACAAATTAGGCTGTGAATGTAAAGAAATCTGCCAAAACAAATCAGTGGAAATCTAATTTCCGTAACCATGGTTACTCACCACGGGGTGGTGAACTGAGATCAGAGTCGGAGGATCGACGGTTGATGACAGGGTTGATGACGGGGACAGCCACTCGGACAGGCGACGTGGAGTTGCGGTGAGGTGTCGGGGAGGAGGAGGGGGCAATGGTGTCCTCGGGGAGGGGGGAGCTGGAAGGGAAAGTGAACACATGACCCCCATGAAGAGCGGGAGGGGCAGTAGGGGGCGGGGACCAGCACTTGGCTTGCTTGTGGGGGGAGACTGGGGGTGAGGTTGTCATGGAGACAGGTCGTTTGTGATGCCGGACACTGAGGAAGGTGACATGACGGCCACTGAAATGGAAAAAGAAAATATATAAACCAATCTGTGGTATCATTATTATCTTAATTTTACAATTTACTCAAATGTTATTCAAAATGCCTTCCATTATTTGAGGGAAACCACTCGTCTTCAGTTAATAGTTAGTTTTTTGGAAGTGCTGAAATTAAATGGAATACTCATGGAGATAAATACTTATTTGTTATCACCTCAAACAACTTTCAGGTATTCAATTTTTTATCATTTCCATGTTTAGTTAAGCTATAAACTTCTAAATGTTTTTTATCACATGGTGTCATCAAATGTTGAGAGTAATAGTTACATGATTGGTTCTCTGAATTCCAAAATTGTATACTTTTTCAAAATTGACATAAATCCCGCACCACACTACATATGGTATACAGCCTTGTATAACACCTCTGTATAATTGATATATAGCACCTTTATCACCCAGTATTCTGCACCTTCACCTTCACCCAGTTATACAGCACCTGCACTACACATGGTATACAGCCTTGTATCACGTTTCTGTATAATATATACATAGCACCTGATCACCCAGTATACAGCACCTTCACTACACATGGTACATAGCCCCGTGTCACACCTCTGAATAACTGAGTGAATGAATTTAACGTCAATTTATCGGCAATATTTCAGCCAAATCATGATGATCTGAATAATATATATACATAGATAGCACCTGATCACCCAGTATACAGCACCTTCACTACACATGGTATACAGCTTTGTATCTATCTCTGTATAATATATATCTATAGCACCTGATCACCAAGTATACAGCACCTTCAATACACATAGTATACAGCTTTGTATATATATCTGTATAATATATATATAGCACCTGATCACCCAGTATACAGTACCTTCACTACACATGGTATATAGCCTTGTATCACGCCTCTGTATAATATATATATACCGGTATATAGCACCTGCTCACCCAGCCTACAGCACCTGCACTACACATGGTACATAACCTTGTATCACGCCTCTGTTTAATATATCTAGAGCACCTGATCACCCAATATCCATCACCTTCACTACACATGGTATATAGCCTTGTTTCTATCTCTGTATAATATATATAGCACCTGATCACCCAGTATACAGCACCTTCACTACACATGGTGCATAGCCTTGTATCACGCCTCTGTATAATATATCTATTTCACCTGATCACTCAGTATACAGCACCTGCACTACACATGGTATACAGCCTTGTATCACACCTATGTATAATATATATATCTATAGCACCTGATCACCCAGTATACAGCACCTTCACTACACATGGTACATAGCCCTATATCATGCCTCTGTATAATATATTTAATAGCACATGATCACCCAGTTTTACAGCACCTGCACTACACATGGTATACAGCCTTGTATAACTCCTCTGTATAATATATACATAGCACCTGATCAGCACCTGCACTACACATGGTATACAGCCTTGTATCACTCCTCTGTATAATATATACATAGCACCTGATCAGCACCTGCACTACACATGGTATACAGCCTTGTATCACTCCTCTGTATAATATATACATAGCACCTGATCAGCACCTGCACTACACATGGTATACAGCCTTGTATCATGCCTCTGTACAATATATACATAGCACCTGATCACCCAGTATACAGCACCTTCTCTACACATTGTATGCAGCCTTGTATCAAATGTCTCTATAACACTACCTGCACACTTTACTTCATCCTGTCATTCAATACCAATGTGTTACAAATTTTATTATCATACCTCCATGTCAGAATGATGAAATCTCTGTGGTTTACATGATCTTGATAAAAAAACTATGTATTCTTGGAGTGAAATAAATTTCTCAGCGGGTGAATAAATCCCTTATACCCCACCATGAACAAGACAGGCTGCATGTGGATTTCTGAGAGGGAGAATCAATCCCTTATACCTCGCTCCGAACAAAAAACCCTGCATGCTTTTTTCCAAGTCAATGAAATCACGTGACATAGCACAAGTTAACCTTTTCTCAATCGAACAGCTGTCTATCAATTTTGAATTTGTTTTAATTTTTTATACAATTTCATATTAAAACATGTTGGTAAGATAAAAAATCATTGTAGCAGTACCACATGAGGTGCCTAAAAACATGTGGGATGCATCAACCACATGTACCCGAAGTGATGAGTAAGCATGAGTTATTAATGATGATCTCTATGCAACTATCTCTAAGTTCTCTACGGCAATGGCAGTTGTGATGCTGTTTTCATATGTGGATGACTAAATGATAATTCACACTTGGCTACTCTACGTGCAATAAACATTTTCAAACACGGGTTAATGACCACTAAGAAATATCTCTATATACCTATAACTTGTCACACAGTTGGTATCAATATCATGTAGGCATTTCACCTTGACCCAACATTCAACAGATTGTGTGTGAATTTCACCATGCTGTGGCTACCAGTGATACAATGTTAACATAATGGCTATCAGCGATATATTGTTGTCTTAATTGCTACCAGTGATACACTGTTAACTTTACGGCTTCCAGTGACACATCTTATCTCTATGGTCACCAGTGACCCATTGGCAACTTCATTACTACCAGTGACACATTATTATTAGTATGGCTACTTGTTACAAATTGTCAACTTCATGGCTATCGGTAAGGCTGCGTTAACACAGTGCCGATTAAGGCTCCCATTTGAGATCAGACAGCGATACGAAAAAAGTCGGATCACTGTCCTCAATGATCTGGAATGTCCTATCATTGTCTGAACGCATTCATATACGTTCGTAACAGAGTCCTATGGATCGGGAAAGGTCCAGAGAGGACGGCCCAGCACTCCCAATAGTATGGTGCGTCCCGTAACATTCAGGAAAGTCAGCCGATTTTGTCTAGTCGGATTACAATCGTGATTATGTCGTGACAGATTCTGCTGTATCAGATCAAAATCGGAACAATGTCCTGTGTTGTTTGCATGGTGTCCTGTGGATTGGGACGTTGTCGTGAAGAACGGGGATGATTTGGAGAAATTGTACATTGCCGTTTCTTGTCAATTGAGCCCGGATTGCGTCCAGATCTTGCCCTTATGTGACCTGTTTTTGTCTATCTATACTGTCCGGTCACTGTTTGATCTCTGTCAAATCGCATTTCGGGAGAATCAGGACGCTGTCGGGACAGATTCAGTCGTTTTTTAACATGCTGAAGATACAAATCGGATCAGATTCGGATTGAGAATGGGATGGAATCGGTACGAATTCGTCTGAAAACGGCTGAATCGGGATGCTTCCTGAACAATATCTGATTGTTGTCGTGATTAAATAAATGGTTTTTTTTACAAATTTGTGAATTTCCAGCCACAAATCACAGGATCTTGATCAGACTTTTGACAAATTTTAATTGGGAACAGTCCTATCAAGGATGGTAGTAACAATCCTGAATGTGTGACTCAGCCCTAACACGTGTTAACTTTATGGCTACCAGTGACACACTGTTAACTTTACTGCTACCACTGACACATTGTTAACTTTACTGCTACCAGTGATACACTGTTAACTTTACTGCTACCACTGACACATTGTTAACTTTACTGCTACCAGTGACACACTGTTAACTTTACTGCTACCAGTGACACATTGTTAATTTTACTGCTACCAGTGACACAGTTAACTTTACTGCTACCAGTGACACATTGTTAACTTTACTGCTACCAGTGACACATTGTTAACTTTACTGCTACCACTGACACATTGTTAACTTTACTGCTAACAGTGACACATTGTTAACTTTACTGCTACCAGTGACACATTGTTAACTTTACTACCACCAGTGACACATTGTTAACTTTACTGCTACCAGTGACACATTGTTAACTTTACTGCTACCAGTGACACATTGTTAACTTTACTGCTACCAGTGACACATTGTTAACTTTACTGCTACCACTGACACATTGTTAACTTTACTGCTACCACTGACACATTGTTAACTTTACTGCTACCAGTGACACATTGTTAACTTTACTGCTACCAGTGACACATTGTTAACTTTACTGCTACCAGTGACACATTGTTAACTTTACTGCTACCAGTGACACATTGTTAACTTTACTGCTACCAGTGACACATTGTTAACTTTACTGCTACCAGTGACACATTGTTAACTTTATACAGTGTTATTATTATGGCTACAGGTGAAAATAATGCTATAGCTACCAGTGACACATTGTTAACTTGAATACAATACATGTGACACCTCTTCATTTCTGATACCACTCTTAGAATACCTTTGCCAAGAATCAATTCTCTAAGCAGGCAATCCTATTTGGTTAATGTGATACAAAATGTGTAAACTCAAATGACTTGAATCAAATTATGAAAGATCATCAGATGAAAAATTAAGAGAAAACAAAGTGATCAAAATATAGAAAGTACCACATGGTTCTGTAGCTCACCTATAATATATATTGAATTGAAACTTAGAGTGACAATAAATCCATCTTTGACATCAACTGATGAGAAATCAACAGTATTTTATAGCCCACTGAAATACCATGCTGCTCTACAATTTGGTTGGTTGGTTTGTTGTTTAATGCCACACTCAGCAATATTCCAGCTATATGACGGTGGTCTGTAAATAATCGAGTCTGGACCAGACAATCCAGTGATTAATATCATGAGCATCGATCCACGCAACTGGGATCGATGACATGCATCAACCAAGTCAGTGAGCCCGACCACCCGATCCAATTGGTCGCCTCTTACGACAAGCATAGTCGCCTTTCTGCTCTATAAATAGACCATGGAGGTAGTCTTAATATCCTAACTGCTAGCCCAGTGGACCAAGTGTTTGCTTGTCATGTAGAAGGCCTGGGTTCGATTCCCAACATAGGTACATTGTGTAAAGCCCATTCCTAGTGTACCCCTGGCATGATATTGCTGGAATACTGCTTAAAACAGCATTAAACCACACTCACTCATAAGATGTTGGAAATGTGG